CAATGCATTAACGGATTGGCCTAATAAATGGGCATACGTTTCTTTTTCTTTCAGAATAAAGTAAATGCACTTTGCTCTGATGAAGCACTGCTGCTGTGCCAGGAGCTGCATCAATTACACTGAGTGGAGACTGAGAAGGCGGTGTCATCATAATATGTTTAAAATAAAATAAATTTCTGGGAAACAGCCACGGCCTGTTAAGTTGTCAGTCAGGTTTGATTTAATTAAATGAATTGGCTCAATCAAAAAGTCATTCGAGTATCAACCTTCATCAATAAAGAGCAATTTGTCTCATTTAGAAAAATTGTTGTGCCATTCAGATTAGATTTTATTTACACTTATTTACATACTGCGCACTGTTAGGTATTCGATTTTGATAAATGGTTTGAGTGCCCCTCCTCTGACTCTCTTCACTGCAAGAGGATGGCTTAAAGTGACCCTCAGCAGTCCAGGAAATGAGCTTCTGTTCTTCTTGAATATGGTACAAGCTGTATTATTGTCATAGATACATGAGATGAATAAAAGATGAAGAGGAAGCAGAGGGAGGGGTGGTAGATAAAGAGAGGGGGGTGGGTAGAATAGAGGAGTCTGAGAGAGAGAGGGAGAGAGGAGATGGAGAAGAGGACGACAATCCTGAATAAAGAGGAAGTTAGTGGGAGAAGATAAAAGGTTTTCATTTTGTAGAGAGTGACAGAGAAAAAGAGAGAGGTGGTGTTGTGAGGGAGTTTTAATGTTTTATTTATAACAAAAGTCCACACTCTCTAATTAATGAAGAAAGAAGAATAATTAGTGCTTCACCTTTACTCACTATGGAGTACCAAAAGTTTATTAAGGAAATGATGGTCAAGTGAATGGGATACAGAAACTGTATTTTACCTCCTGAATCTGTAGTTTCCCGTCAGCTGTGACATCATAGGCGGACATAAACCTCTGCTTCAGTCTCTGAACTCGTTCTTCAGTCACTTTCTCCTGTCGAGACACAATAGGTTAAAATGCAGCATTGATTTTTTTCTTTTTTACCCAAAGCCACCATTACAAATCCACTGGACACAGATATAGTGATGATGACAGAGTATGGGATGGGACAAAATGAAGTGGGCTATGTAGTAAAGTGTAGATTAAAACAAAATTGAAAACAAATTGTTGTATCACACTGATGTCTTTAAATCGAGCATATAATGTATTTGAAAATCATAGAAAATAATGACGTTAGATGACAGATACTTCACTGGCTGAGTCACGCTTATTTTAAGCAATGTCACCATGGATACTTCTTTGACCTGTACCTGCCATTCTCCTCTCAAGGTTTGCTTTCTCAACCGCTGGCAAAATTTTCTTAAAGCATTTTTGTAGTTGACTCTGCTTGTGCTTGGCCTTCTCAGTCTTTCTAATATACAGAACAGAAACTATGATGGTGTACACCTCAAACGTTTGCAACCAAGAGTGGTCATCTAGGAAGAGAGGAGAGATTTCTATTGCCCAGTGTCATGGTCCTGTTTTTTATTTTATTTTTTTTTTTTCAGCAAGCATTTCACTGCAAATGCTTCAGTGAAATATGACTATCTAATCTGAAATTTAACTTCCTCAGTTTTTGCCACTGTTCTGTAGATAACGAATAGTCAGGAACTACTTTTACTCACGAAACGTAATGCATTTAAGGATATGGAAAACATATTGTAGCAGTTTATAACCAAAGATAAATTGAGCTACAAACGCTGCAAAAATACAGTCTGATAGCATGCTTATCTGAGTTAAGAATCACATTTTTCTCTAACAGAGCTCAGACAAAAGCTTGAAGCAACTGAAGGCAACAATATATTTAGCTCTTCAAGTTATTTTAAAATGCATTTAGCAGCTAATCTAATAGTGTCTCGTTGCAAACCATACTGTAACTATAGAAACCTGTTGATCTATGATGCTGCTGTGTGAATCATCATTTTACATGGTGCAGAGCACACAGTCTGCAGACTACAAGGTGCCAGGCCCTCACTCATTACAGACGGACAAGTATTTGTCTTCAGCCTCAACTTTCTGTCAGGCAGTCCTGTTGGCACCTGCAATCTGCTGTTGCTAGGCAGAGCTTTTTTAAGTACACACATTAATGTTTGACTTCATGTACACTGCTGAACTGAAATGCTGTATTAATTGAAAAAGCATGTTTCCCCACTCCATAAGGAACTCATGTATTCTCTAGGTTTTACTGATACATCAAACTAACAGTGTATCACCCCAAAATTCATTAAATAGCTTTTGACTAACTGATTTAATTGTGGGAAGAAAATGCGTAATCACCAGATATGATGCACTGCAGGAAATAAAACCACAAATAGATAGACAAACACCACGTGGTTCATGTTACCCAATGCTTCAGCAGCTTAATAGGAAAAAACAGAATGAGTGTGCAGTGTTGTAGCTCAAGAGAAATAGACCAAACAGAACTCATCCTGGGGGCATTAATGAAAGAGCAAACATTAGAGAGACAAAGTGACCTGTGGTTGGTGGTCTGTTTGTTTGAGTACAACCTCATTAGTATCCAAGGGAGTCCAGTCTCTCACACGCACAAGATGTTGCACTAATAGGTGTACTGTATACTCGTTTGGTTTTCCATTATAACTGGTCAGGGAAAGGGCTCAGTCTGTCAGGTTCACAGCATTTAACATTGCTCAGTAAAAAAAAATGAGTCTTTAGCACATGTTCACGCAAAAACACACACAAATACAGAGCTCCCCTAGGTCAACTTGTAACCAAGTCTAGGGCTTTTCCTTTGACAGGGACCAGAGCTATATAATTGTGTTTTGTCTAACATCCTTACAGTCACCCCACCCATCCAGATAACTGCATAGAGGTTCAGCTGCCCACACAGCAGAGACCATAAGTGCTGCAAAGTCTGTGCCCAAAAGCAATTGTATTTCGTAAAAGCTGATTTAAGCTTTAATTTTGACAAATTGTTTCCCACAAACCCTTCAATCTAAACATGAGAAATTTAATTATCATTGTGTAGCGAACTTTAGTGATTTTAATGGCAAATTTCAAAATAAACATCTGCCTGTACTTGTAGACCATGTCACATGCAATATAATAAATAAAAAAATTAACTAAGATATATACAGCCCAGACCAGGTCGTTCAAATCAGGATTGAAATAACTGTATTGGAGATGTAGCCCTTTTAACACATAGTGTACAATCATAATTTTTGATATTTTGTGGAAAAACCCTTTGCATTCAGGGACATCCAACATCCATGGACGTCAGCAGACGCTTTGTATCTTCCCTCCCAGGCATTCACTGCAGCCACATGCAGCTCTTATATGTTGTGTGGTCTCTTTGCCTTTAGTCTGGTCGTCAGCACTTGCTGATTTATGAAACCTTCATTTTATTTATGAGGGCATGAAATGGCGATTTCACTGTGTTTTCACCCTCCAGACAAAAATAAGTCAGGTCTAGCTTAAAAACCTGCACATTTACACTTGGATTTGATTAATAAATTGACTAATTGAAAAATCCAAATGGGCTATTACACTGTTTTATCCTCATCTAGACCACATCAGAGCAGGTGTAGATCAAAAACCACCTCAGTTAGCCTAACCCTAACCCTGAAGAAGATTAACAGGGAGAGAAATATTTACAACATAGTTTTTCATTTCTTTTCTATTTGTGACTAGGTCTTTCATCAAGACCTGGTCTATTATTGTCTGGATTGATCAAACCATGAAATTGCCTTTTTTGCATTTTAAAATAAAGTAAAGGCTTCATAAATCTGAAAGTGGGTTTTAACAGAGTTAAGTCTTTGAGAAGGATGTTGACCACAGTTCTTCCTATATTGATGTGAACCTACTCAAATTAAAACTTGGCACTGAAATGCAGTGTCCATGAACTGAAGCTCAGAGCCTGTGTAACTGTGCAAATACTTAGTCTGGACTTATATTTGGAAAACAGCAATGTTTAGTCATATAACCTCCTCTAGTAATGTTATTGTGGGTGCCATATAGATCGACAGATGTGTCTCATGCATTTGCCATTATCAGATGAAAATGATGTGCTAGTGGTTTTGTGCCTGTTCAGATGACATGCACTGCATCGGACTGTATTGAGCTGCTGTTAGTTTTCTTCACTAGATCTGGATAAATTCGTCCAAATAAAGCTTACTTACCTGTGGACCCAGCCTCTTCATCATGTGACAGAAAAAGTCATCAAGCTCTTTGCCCTCAATGTAGCCATTATCTGTCCGAATAAAAAAAAAACAAGTTGTGCAAGTCGCTGGGTTGTAAATGAAGGGAAGCAAGTTGGCATTTTCTTCAAAATTCAAATACTGCGAACTCTCAATGAAGTGACTAAGATAATTTATTACTCGTTTCATGTGACACAGGACTTTACTGTCTCCGGAGACAGAAACAGTCATGTTCTGATTTTTTTTTTTGTAATAAGAATATTTAACATGATACTCAGAACAGAAATTAGTTGCTACAACCAAAACTCAGATATTTGTCATAACAAATAGTCCTTTTCTCCCTAATGCCTAGTAACAGTGGAAATAAAATTAAATACATTAAAAAGTACTGTGCTGCCTGTCTGAATATATTAATATGTACAATGGACAAAAAATATGACCGTGTCTTTAACTGTCCTTACCATCTGCATCGAAGTGTTGCCAGATTTCCAGGAAACCAGCTGCATCCAGGTTATCAAATGCAGTGTCCATTTTAATAAAGAAACGCAAAGCAAGCTGTCAACTTTTAAGCATAAAAACAATGAAGACTGAGGTGACAAACTGTGTTGTTGCACTGTTCAGTAGCCTGCTTTGTTTGACATATGCTCTTTCTGACTTAGTAAAAACCACACCTCCTCTGAGAGAGAGCGAGAGCCAGAGAGCGAGAGAGAGCATTGTATTTGCCATCTGGTGGCTGCACTGTTATACTGCAAAACACATCAGAAAAAGTTACAAAGAAGATACAATGCAGAAAAAGACTGTAAAATTATTTTAATCATTATTAATATTTGCATGAAGAAATGTCCAACACCGGCAGAATGACTTTGTGAAACATACTGATCCATGACAAAATGGAACAAATAACGTCATGAAGGCCAATAAAATTAGCAAATATGTCATTAGTATTTATGCTTTTTTTTCCCAGCTCAAGAAAAACAGTCATTGTTTTGGATTATTCTTTTTCTGAATTATGAAGAAAGTAACATTGAATTGATTATATGCAAAAACAAATGAATACATACAAAGAATTAATTTCTACATTTATGAACACAATGTACAAGTGAGAGGAAAAACAACAAAGGATCAAGAGATCACCGGCCATTTTTTTTACTCCAAATAAGTTACAAACAAACAAACCCCTAGTATAGTAGTGTACTTAGTACCAAAACAATATAGGATTTGCTGTGGTCACTTTAGGCGTGTGAATATACCACAGTGTGTATATTACATGTGCATATATTACACATACATATATACACACGCATACACCTACATGTATGAAAGCACATATATACATACAGTACGACTCAAAGCCACATCATGCAGTCACACACACATGTAGACTCAGGAGTCTTGACTCAATGCTACTGGATATTTTCACTTTCTCCACTCCGTGCACCAACAAAAGAAGTGAATGTTCATTTTTCAGAATTGAGCAGGAAATCATCTTTCGCACAACTTGACAGAAACACAGCCAGCTGCTTCCTACACAGAAAGCAAAAACAATAGAGGACAGTGTCGAGATAAGTCCCTTGCATCAGGAAAAGGGTTGAAAATGCCAACAGAATACAGCACGCAGCCACATGTGTTTGCTTTGAACATATTGCAAAGTTCGTTTTTTTTTTTTTTTTTTTTTTTTTTTCCTCAGTGTCCTTGAACCACTCCCACGCAAAAAAAGTGATGTTTGATTTTTGTGACTGAGACTGAAAGTCAAAGCGGCCATTGACATCAAGTACAGATTGACTGACTATATACAGCAGGAACAGTGTTATTTCCAAGCCATGATTAGTGATAAAGAAGCTAAAACCTAATTATAATCCTACAAAAAGACATTGATAGACACCATAGGAAAAGGTGCACCAGTAAGACCTTTGGCCCTGACTTGAATTTGACTCTTGTACAGTACAATAAAATACAGTGCCCCTTTCACACTGGTTATGCATAAGAAGTCTGCTGCTCTGTGTGGGTGTTACATCTGTCATAAATGCTTAGTAGTTTGGCTGTAAAAGCATAAGTATTAGAACAGTGGACAAAATATACTGAAGTTTAAAGATGTGAAGAGTATACTTTAAGTTTACAGGCCAAACCTCTGTCCCAAATTATATATGCAACATGAGTAAAATTGCCTGATTCTGTATCAACAAAAAAGCTAGAGGTTGTAAATGAAATGAGGAATTGCCAAGATCTGTTTGAGAAACTGATTGCAGACTGTGTAGCAGTGTGAAAAGGGCATTTCTTGCTCTTAAAAGAGAAAAATGAGAGGAACGATCCTGAGACCTGTGTTGTTGTTGTTGTTGTTGTGAAGCATTCAGGTCCTTAAAATGGTATATACAGAACAGCCCAGAGGTCCATGTTGGTCAAAATACAGCTACCCTCAGTTCACTTTCACTCCAGGCACTGTATTCCCAATTACTTAACAGAGGCTATGTGTTTTGAAATGCTGTGAGTTTGAAGAGGTGTCCTGTCTTGCATGGAACAATGTGAAAGTGAGCTGAAAGTCCTGAAGGAAAAATTCTCAAGAGGAAGAGGAGTGTTTGAGGGCTGCGGTTCCCTCAGTATTCTTCTTTTACACAAACAACAAACTGAAGAGGTTGATGTCAAAATTTGGCTCAAAACAGCTCCTGAAATGGGAAACACAAGACTGCATCTCCCATGTTATCTTCAGATTCTCTTTGCTATTCCTCTTTTTGAGTATGTTCTTTGTTTTCATTGGACCATCAGCACATCGGGGGGATATTCATATATGTCTCATGAAAAAAAAGACCTCAGCAGCTAAATGTAAAAAATAATTTAAATGTGTTTCTTCCACAGTGTTTAGTGTTTGTTAACAGTGCCGAAGCCTTATTGATTGGTCGTCAGGGAAGTTAAAGTGTACCACAGTCCTAGCAAAGCACAAACACATCATATGGTCTCTCTGATTTGCTCCCACATGAGCCAAACTTGGGTCCAGTTGGGGTGTTTGATAAAGTCTATAGCCATCTTTCAGTCCTTCAGTGATGAGTCCATTTAGTCCTTAGTACTGTCCGACAAGCTACATCAAATGTGTGTTACTGATTTATTTTTGTGCTGATTTTCTCAGCTGAACCTGTATTTTCCTGTAAAAAAAAAAAAAAAAGATGAATTGCATAATGATTCAGTCTGGAGAAAAGGAACTTGCACATACTGAAAATAGCCTCTAGAAAAATCCATACAAATATATTGAAGGAAAAGAATGCCTGGTCCTGGTCTAGTTTTATGCTTGAGTTCAAGTACAGTACATTGGTAGTGGTATTGTTAGTGTGTGTTTGGTCCCTGGGAGACAAGCTACTGCAAAATAATAGTAAGTCTTATCAGTTACAGAGTCATTTTAAATGTACACTTGTTCACAGTCTCTCTCTCTTGCTGTCGTTTGCACAAAAAGTCCTGAAAGCAACATCTCTTCTTTTTTTTTAAAAAGTGGTTTACAAACTTAAACTCAGTTCCATCCCACGACCTATTTCTTCAAGTCCTGAAAAGTTTATTCTTTTACAGACATGAGATTTTGACCTGACAGCAGAGTAGGCTGAAACCAGTTCTAGAGAAAAGGGTGTGAGAAGGAAGCTCTAGGGAGATTTAGTTTGGTTTACTAGGAGACATGACAGGAAAATATTCCCTGGAGGATATTCCCCACAGTGTTAATATCTAGCAATATCTTCTTCTTAGATCATCAAATTAAACTGAATTTGAAACTGTGTGTTACCTGATACTACAGCAGGTAACCTGCCTGCAAACCACACATTATGTGTACTTAATGGTCAGACAGGACCTACAGTGCAGGTACAAGCTCTAACATAAATGAAAACATATTGATTATATTCCCCCTTAGTTGCTTTTCTAAAGAAAAACAAGTGAGTCTTGTCAACAAGTTTTTGTTGTCAATTTGTCTCGCTCATATTAAAATAAAGTCTTTGTCTGCCTCCTCCCCAGAGTCCGATGACTTCTTGCCCGCTGCCTTGTCCTTGTCTGGGTTTGGAGATTGGTCCTTGGACTTGAAGGGGCCGTGATCCTCCGAGTTGGTACGGAGAGGGCTGGGTCGCTGAACAGAATCTGACGCCATCCTCCCTGAAAATCAGACGGAGAAGATTAAATGACAGTAAGTCTTGGCAGTTCAAGGGGGAGAAAGGAGAAAGGGACAGGGAAAAGAAAATAAGAGGTGAGGAAAAAATGGAAACTTGACAAATTATTTTTAAAATGGCATTGGATTGATTTTTTGATGTTGTTTCATGTAGTTGCTACAAAGTATGCTGCTACAAGTGGCTCATCAGCCACCAATGCCAGCCTTAAAGCCTGTGTGAACACAAACTAAAAAAAGAGGAGATGTAAAGCACCTCAATCCCACTTTAACTTTGCTGTATTAGGAAAATCCTAATATTGATGATCCAAAGAGCAGCTCCACTACACTGAATAAGTAATCTGCAGCTTCTGTAAGACACATACTGATGTGAATTTTAAGAGGAAGGAGGTTTTTATCCTTGTGATGGACTTGAGGTCTGTCCAGAATACTTCACTGCTCTCTGCCCTATGCATGCTGGGATAGAGTGACTACATAAAAGGGATCTTACTCCACACCGTCACTTGAGTCAGATGATCATCTTCTTCAACATTTGTACAGGCATTTGAACATCCTCTTGTATATACTGCCACCTAATGGCTCTTGATTTACTCTGTAATGAAGTTGGCATGGACATAGTGAGATTGCATTGGCTGTAATGTGTAGACAGTATCTGTCCGTCTTGCTTTTTAATCTATATGATATCAATATATACAAATATAGATGATAAGAACAGCAGCATAAAGCATAAATTATTTTTATTGCAGCAAAGAACGAGCAGAACAAATAGCCACAGGTTTCAGACGTGCCTGAGAGGAAGAATTACAAATGTCAACATGTATATGATATGTGTACCTCAGCCAGGCAACAGTGGGATTCACCAAAACAACATCAGAGCATAAGGAGGAAAGACAGACAAAAATATCACCACGCTTCCAGGCTGGCTGTTACATAATAGATAGTATGAAAGGCAGTGAGACTGAGTGAGTTGTGACCTGAATCTATCAGTCTGATTGTAGGAGCAAAAGTCCTCATGTCAAAATATTGTGCAAATGTTATCTTTATTGCCCCATAAGATATTCAGTTTGTTAACTTATTTGTGCTTTGTTTGATAAAAAAAAATAGAATATAGTCTTGCCTGAGTCCAGGCCCTTTTTTGCCCCCATGTTTCCCCTTTACCACTCCTGTATCATGGGAGGTATTCAGAGCCCAGGTGGGCCTCAGGAGGAGCTGTACCATATAGTTTTTGAACAGAGGCAGTTGTCAGTTTTCAGCTTATTTGAAGGCTTATAGAACATTTTATTTAACCTTTATTCTTTTTCTACTTTTAGCAAACAATCAGGCCTGGTGTGATAGAACATTGTTTATTTCATAAATCCCATCAGATCCCTTTGTTTTTGTGGTTGGTCTATAATTCATAGTATGTCTAACTGTACACATTATTCCTGGAGCCCAAGGCTGGTCCAAGGAATACAAAGTCATGCACATTAGTTTAATTGACGACTCTAATGCCTTACTGTGAGCGCATCCCTTAGTTATACTGCTATAGACCTAGACTGCTGTGGGATTCCCATGATTCTCTTTCTCTCCATTTATATCGTACTACTTCATATAAATAACTTTGTATTTTTTCTCTCCGGTAGTTTGTGCTTCTCCTATCTGTGTCTCTCTATCTGTCCTCATTCTGCAGGTATCTCTGTTCTTGGAGCAGCAGGATCCAGATATTCCACTACAAGTACGACATTTTTATAATGTTTTTGTTCCTTACTATACTATGATGTTTTTTATGCCTTACTATATCCTTACATTTTTGACTTTTTTTGTTCCTTACTATACCATTGTTTTTATGCCTTATTATATTCTTACATTTTTTATACCTATCTATACCATTAAGTTTTTATGACTTTTTTTGTTCCTTACTATATATATACTATGTTTTCATGATGTTTTTTATGCCTTATTATATCCTTTCATTTTATTTACCTATCTATATACCATTATGTTTATACAATGTTTTTTGTTCCTTACTATACTATGACGTTTTCATGCCTTACTATACCATTATGTTTTTAATGACTTATTATAGCTTTACATTTTTATTTTTGTTCCTCACTATACTATGATGTTTTTATGCCTTATTATATCCTTACATTTTTTATACGTATCTATATACCATTACGTCTTTATGAAGTTTTTTGTTCCTTACTATACTATGATGTTTTCATGACATTTTTTATGCCTTATTTTATCCTTTCATTTTATTTACCTATCAATACCATTATGTTTTGATGACGTTTTTTTATGCCTTACAGTACAATCACATTTTTATGTTTTTAATGACTTGTTATATCCTTACATTTTTTATACCTATCTATACCATTACGATTTTATGATGTTTTTATGCCTTACAACTAGGGGTGGGCGATATGGCAAAAATATCATATCACGATCTTAAATTGGAAAAAGAAAAACAGACAATTTAGACCAAAGAACCTTTCTTAACAGATTTTATTTCAAATAGTCGCAGTTTTGCCTGCATGTGCAAACAATGTAAAGTTTAAGGTAAACAACAACAACATTCTGGTTCGTCGTGTTACCACCCGACGTGCGAACGGTTTCTGTGCAAACTTTGCAAATTACATTTGCTTGCACTTGATCAGTTGCGGAAAATCCAAACCAATTCCATATAATGGAGGTGGAATTTTTTTTAGCGACCGACTCCGTCGCTCTCCATGTGCTACCGCTACACACACAAACAAGGAGGCGGGTAGGAAAGTGCGTCACTGCCTGTAATTCGCTATGATTGGTCGGTCAGGTTGACGACGTCACTACGTCTGGTGCATCGGTGCATCAGCATAGAACTACAATTTATAGAATGTGCCCTAGACGATCCCATGATCTCTGCAGTTTGAAAGATAGTCTTCACGTTGTAATCCTTCATGATGTCATATCGCCCACCCCTACTTACAACACCCTATATTTTTGATGCCTTACTAAACCATTACGTTTTTTGACATTTTTTGTTCCTTACTATACAATATTTTCATGACATTTTTAAGCCCTACTATACTATGTTTTTATGCCTTACGATTTTATGACATTTTTTGTTCCTTACCATACTATATTTTTGACATTTTATTACTATACCCTTACATTTTTTGTTCCTTACTATACTATATTTTTTATTTATGCCTTACACCACTTTACGTTTTTTATGAATTTTTGTATGACCTACTATACTATATTTTTGACATTTTTTATGCCTTACTATATCCTTACGTTTTTATGAATTTTTGTATGACCTACTATACAATGACGTTTTTATGACATTTTTTGTTCCTTACTATACTATGATTTTTTTAATGAATTTTTGTATGACCTACTATACAATGACGTTTTTATGACATTTTTTGTTCGTTTTTTTATGACTTACTATATCCTTATGTTTTCATAATGTTTTTTTAAGACTTACACCACCTTACATTTTTTATGCCTTACTATACTATGACGTTTTTTGTACCTTACTATACTATGTTTTTATGCCTTACACCACCTTACATTTTTTTTTATACCTTACTATACCATTACGTTTTTATGAAGTTTTGTATGACTTACTATACTATACTATATTTTTGACATTTTTTATTTATGCCTTACACCACTTTACATTTTTTATACCTTACTATACCATTACGTTTTTATGACATTTTTTGTTCCTTACTATACTATGTTTTTATGCCTTACACCACCTTACATTTTTTATACCTTACTATACCATTACGTTTTTATGAATTTTTGTATGACTTACTATACTATGAAGTTTTTTATACCTTACTATACCCTTACATTTTTATGACATTTTTTGTTTCTTACTATACTATAATTTTTATTTATGCCTAACACCACTTTACATTTTTTATACCTTACTATACCATTACGTTTTTATGACATTTTTTGTTCCTTACTATACTATGTTTTTATGCCTTACACCACCTTACATTTTTTTTTATACCTTACTATACCATTACGTTTTTATGAATTTTTGTATGACTTACTATACTATGATATTTTCATGACATTTTTAAGCCCTACTATCCTATGATGTTTTTATGCCTTACGATTTTATGACATTTTTTGTTCCTTACTATACTATATTTTTGACATTTTTTATTTATGCCTTACACCACCTTACATTTTTTATGCCTTACTATATCCTTACGTTTTTATACCTTACTATACCATTACGTTTTTTATGACATTTTTTTAAGACTTATTATACTATGATGTCTTTATACCTTACTATATCCTTACGTTTTTATACCTTACTATACTATGATTTTTTTTATGAATTGTTGTATGACCTACTATACTATGACGTTTTTTGTACCTTACTATACCATTACGTTTTTTATGACATTTTTTTAAGACTTATTATACTATGATGTCTTTATACCTTACTATATCCTTACGTTTTTATACCTTACTATACTATGATTTTTTTTATGAATTGTTGTATGACCTACTATACTATGACGTTTTTTGTACCTTACTATACCATTACGTTTTTTATGACATTTTTTTAAGACTTATTATACTATGATGTCTTTATACCTTACTATATCCTTACGTTTTTATACCTTACTATACTATGATTTTTTTTATGAATTGTTGTATGACCTACTATACTATGACGTTTTTTGTACCTTACTATACCATTACGTTTTTTATGACATTTTTTTAAGACTTATTATACTATGATGTCTTTATACCTTACTATATCCTTACGTTTTTATACCTTACTATACTATGATTTTTTTTATGAATTGTTGTATGACCTACTATACTATGACGTTTTTTGTACCTTACTATACCATTACGTTTTTTATGACATTTTTTTAAGACTTATTATACTATGATGTCTTTATACCTTACTATATCCTTACGTTTTTATACCTTACTATACTATGATTTTTTTTATGAATTGTTGTATGACCTACTATACTATGACGTTTTTTGTACCTTACTATACCATTACGTTTTTTATGACATTTTTTTAAGACTTATTATACTATGATGTCTTTATACCTTACTATATCCTTACGTTTTTATACCTTACTATACTATGATTTTTTTTATGAATTGTTGTATGACCTACTATACTATGACGTTTTTTGTACCTTACTATACCATTACGTTTTTTATGACATTTTTTTAAGACTTATTATACTATGATGTCTTTATACCTTACTATATCCTTACGTTTTTATACCTTACTATACTATGATTTTTTTTATGAATTGTTGTATGACCTACTATACTATGACGTTTTTTGTACCTTACTATACCATTACGTTTTTTATGACATTTTTTTAAGACTTATTATACTATGATGTCTTTATACCTTACTATATCCTTACGTTTTTATACCTTACTATACTATGATTTTTTTTATGAATTGTTGTATGACCTACTATACTATGACGTTTTTTGTACCTTACTATACCATTACGTTTTTTATGACATTTTTTTAAGACTTATTATACTATGATGTCTTTATACCTTACTATATCCTTACGTTTTTATACCTTACTATACTATGATTTTTTTTATGAATTGTTGTATGACCTACTATACTATGACATTTTTATGACATTTTTTGTTCCTTTTTTTTTTATGACTTACAATATCCTTATGTTTTCATGTTTTTTTAAGACTTACACCACCTTACATTTTTTATGCCTTACTATACTATGACGTTTTTTATGCCTTACACCACCTTACATTTTATATGACTTACTATATCCTTATGTTTTCATGTTTTTTTAAGACTTACTATACTATGACGTTTTTTATGCCTTACACCACCTTACATTTTTTATGCCTTACACCACCTTACATTTTTTATGAATTTTTACCCCTCTTTTTTATACCTTACTATACCATTACGTTTTTATGACATTTTTTGTTCCTTACTATACTATGTTTTTATGCCTTACACCACCTTACATTTTTTATACCTTACTATACCATTACGTTTTTATGAATTTTTGTATGACCTACTGTACTGTGACGTTTTTTTATACCTTACTATATCCTTACATTTTTATGACATTTTTTGTTCCTTACTATACTATATTTTTGACATTTTTATACCTTACTATACTATGATTTTTTTTATGAATTTTTGTATGACCTACTATACTATGATGTTTTTATGACATTTTTTGTTCCTTTTTTTTATGACTTACTATATCCTTATGTTTTCATAATGTTTTTTTAAGACTTACTATACTATGACGTTTTTTTATGCCTTACTATACTATGATTTTTTTATGAATTTTTGTATGACCTACTATACTATGACGTTTTTTATACCTTACTATACTATATTTTTGACATTTTTTATTTATGCCTTACACCACCTTACATTTTTTATACCTTACTATACCATTACGTTTTTATGAATTTTTGTATGACTTACTATACTATGAAGTTTTTTATACCTTACTATACCCTTACATTTTTATGACATTTTTTGTTCCTTACTATACTATGTTTTTATGCCTTACACCACCTTACATTTTTTTTTATACCTTACTATACCATTACGTTTTTATGATGTTTTTTATGACTTATTATATCCTAATGTTTTCATAATGTTTTTTTAAGACTTACTATACTAGGACGTTTTTTATGACTTACTATATCCTTAAGACTTACTTTACTATGACATCTTTATGCCTTACACCACCTTACATTTTTTATACTTATCTATACCTATACGTTTTTTATGCCTCTCCACCATCATGGCCTCCACAGAAGCACACCGTGTAGTACTTCCACTTCCTGGGCACTACTGTCATACAGGACCTCAAGTGGGAGCTGAACATCAGCTTCCTCACCAGGAAAGCTCAGCAGAGGATATCCTGCGGCAGTTGAAGAAGTTCAACTTGCAAAGGTCAATGATGGTGAACTTCTACACTGCCATTATCGAGTCCATTCTCACTTCCTCCATTACAAACTGCTGCAACTGCCAAGGACAAGGGCAGACTGCAGCGTATCATTCACTCTGCTGAGAAGGTTATTGGCTGCAATCTGCCAACCCTCCAGGACCCTGAGGCAAGCAGAAAAGATTGTAGCCGAAACTGTTTGAGTCACTCACCTCTGGCAGGACCTAAACCTCCTGCCACAAGAAAAGCTTCATTAACGAGGCTAAAGACCCCAACTGTCACTGACACCTGCGCCCCCCCCCCCCCCCCCCCCCCCCGTGAACTATTGCACACACCCCTCAGTCTTTTCACACAGTGTACATATTTTTATTGTATGTATTTATATTTTTCTATTTATTATTTTCTATTTTTTCTCACATTTTATTGTACATATTTCATCTTATTGTTAAATCTTTCTACTTATATCTAATATCTGACCTGTAGTACTTGCTTGTTTAATCCTCGTTATATGTCTTTTCTTCTATGTTTAGTATGCACCAAAGCCAATTATTTGTATGTTGAAAAACCTACTTGGCAATAAACAAGATTTTCACTTTACCATTACGTTTGTTTCTTACCATACTATGATGTTTTTATGACGTTTTTTTATACTTTATTATAACATTACATTTTTTATACCTTACAATACCGTTACGTTTTTATGACATTTTTATGCTTTTTGCTCCTTACTATACTATTATGTGATGTCATTTATAACTTACTATACTATGATGTATGATATATACATTCTCCAGATATATGAAGATATAAGTTTATAACATATATGAAATACTCCTAGTAAAATGGACCTTCATTAAAACATGCTTATCAAAATTAAAATTCTTATTAAATTTAAACATGTCTACCTTTTATATTTACATATATGATATGAACATATATTAACAGGCTTTGGGATGGATATTTATTAATTTAACGAATGTCTATAATATCAAAAGACATACTAAAATACATGTTTGTATTAGCTAGACATATTGTAAATGTCAATATATGACATTGTTCCAATTTCCAATAAAGGCTTGGGCTGGCTCTGCTGGAGTTTGGATTATAGGATTGTCTGTCATTGTATATGTTGACAGACAACAGTCAGCTTCCGTGGGAATAACGCAATAATATGAAAGTATACGGGAAGTCAACACATTGTCGGATCCTGACAGTGACATCAAACATCTACCGGTGTAAGGGAAATCTGCTCTGGCCAGAGGACAATTTTTTGATGGAGGAGGAGGCCAGATAAAAGCAACTGCTCACTTCACTTTCAATGCAGTTAAAAATCTATTTGTTGTTTGTTGGTGTGAATGGGCTAAGTATACAAACTCAAAGATTTTGAAAGAAAGATTTTGTGACCTACCTTCCTGAGTGGTTTTGTTGGCAGAGCCTCCTGACTGCAGACTAGTTTGGCCCTCCTTGTCTTTCTCTGACAACCCCCTTTTCAGTGTGAGAGGGAGACCTGTGACTTTAGGGGAGATGCCACCAATGCTAGGGGAATCTGGGCTCTCATCTATCAGAAAGACAACCAGGAAAAACATTTAAAATCAAACATTTTACCACCTGTCATACAATGTCAACACAGCAGCAAGAGGTTACCATGTTAAATTTGTCTCTATTCCTTAAACAAAATAAAACACTATCCATCAGCACAAGTTGCAGAGAAAATAATCATATGCATCACCCCTCTAACAGATGAATCTAAAACCATACTGTACAAAAATGTCAAAAGATTCAGGAAGGAAAAACTGAATCACTAGGGCAGCAATCGCCTCAGTGTGACAACCAATTCAGATCCAGGGCTTGATCAATACCTATGCTCCTGCTGCTACTGGTGGTCCTGGGCTTCTGTGGGATGGTGGGTCGGGCAGCCAGGGCTGGCTTCGCCCCCTGCGGCACCGGCGGTTTGGGACTCACTGGTCCCCCGGGGGAACTGGAGGAGGAAGTAGCTCTGAGACGAGGCACCGGTTCAGGCTTAGTCTCACCACGCGACAGGGTCTTTTCTGGAGAACCAGTGTCTGGTTTATTAATGGAACCACTGGGAGACCTGCTTTCTGGAGTTGTGGGCTTGGCTGCTGAAACACAGGAAAAAGTCATATGTAATACTTTCACATACACTAGTATGAACAAAACATGAACAGCCAAACTGGCTACCAAAACTGTGATCCAAGGGTTTGGGTTAAATCTCTGGTTTTAGATGGATTTATAACACTTGTTGGAAAGCTTTTATTGAGCTTAACATTACAAGTTGTCAATCTATTTCTGCTGAGATCCTCTCCATGTTTGGGGGGAGGGGCTACAACACACAGTAAATCAGAATTCAAAAGATAGAAACATGACCATAAATGACAGCAAAACAAAGTAGAGACTCACTGAGCTGAAATGAAACGAGTGCATATAACTTCTTTTCCTTTTGGTTTCTTGTATGCATCTCTCATTGTCCACTGTAGATATGTGACTAAGCTCCTTGGAGATGACACTTATGTCTCATGCTCTGTGGTGTTGCCTGCTCTGCCATTTATGCCACACCATGGAGGTCTCAGATGAGGACCCATCCTACACGGAGAGGTTCAAGACTGCCTTTAAGAAGGATATATATCCGAACGGCAAGCAAACATCAATAATGGATGGCTCAAGATGGCTTCAGCACTTCATCCACGCACTTAAAGTCTCTACCAAGAGGAGAGAGCAAAGAGGTGTGGACCGGCCTTGAGGCACTGCTGCAAGAGAAAACCCTGCAGAGCTCTCAGAGGAGCCAGCAAAGAAGAAGAGAAGCCTCTCACTGTTGGCTTCAGACACAGATTCAGATGATGAAATGAGGCCTAACAGGGCTCTGAGCTTTTATAAAACAGAGCCCAGCATCAGCATGGGAGATTGCGCACTGCAGTGATCAACTCATGCAGTGGCTTATCTACAGATGTCTGCCCTGGCTTGTAAATATCTGGCCACTACTGCAACCTCTGTCCCTCAAGAGAGACTTGAAGCCAATATAGTTCAAGAGAAGAGGGCAGCCATGAACTTTTGTTTGTCTCAGTGACTGGCTGAAGGAGAAGTAAGAGGCACTGTGAGGCTGAAGGGTCTGTTGCTGTTGAGTTACACTACATGACGATAAATCAAATTGTTATGGTCTATGTTGCCACAGAGACTTTTGCTTGGTGTGATTTATTTTGTCATACAATATATTGGAGAAATAAAAGGAACTGAGGTCAATGGGACTGTTATTGTTGACTACTGACTGTTTTAGAGGATCTATATGTTCAGTTAAATGAAAATGTTACGCCCTGAATTAGAAATTGCAGTATATGTTACACTGTTGATCTGTGGTGGCATATAAGATACTGGTGAAACTGTATTGAGGTCAAAGGGACTGTTAGCTTATAGTTAGGTTACAATTGTGGCCTGAGACTCTGTGTATGTTCTATGAAATGAAAATTGTGCCTTGTATCTTAACCTGCACCGTATGTTACTGTTGGTTTGTGTTGCCTCTTTAATTTTAGCTTAGTTTTTTTGGTATCTAAAATAAGACACATTACAGTCATTACAAGGATACAGTGAGAAACTTACTGACTTGTTTTCATCATTGTTCTTGCAGAAAAATTTAAGATTTTTTATTTCCTCAATTCATCAGGGTCATATTTTTGATTGTTATGGCCTTTACTGCAGATGTACAAAATGTTCTCAATGTACAGGAAATAACAGATGTTGAGTTTTAAAGTTTTTAAATCAAAATTGATTTCAACTGAAATATTTCGAAATAAATGCTTTTCATGGCAAATATTGATATGCGATTAATTTAGATTCAGATCATAATGCATGCAATTAATCAGATTACATTACATTTTTAATCACTTGACAGCCCTAATCTAACCCATTAACACTTAACCTCATTTTGAATTTAATGTAGCTCATTTCTCATTTTTTTCAAGTTAATTTAATCTTAAACGTCTACTCTTGTTAAATGTAAAGTGAATAAATGAAAATTACAAAAATAAATTCAATTAACATCTCACCTGTTGCATTGCTGTCAGGTCTATCGGGGCTGGAAGACTGAAAGAAAAGACAGAATACTGGATTACTAATTTTTATGACCAAAGGAAACCTAGTATGTACAACTACCCATTATACAAACACTACATAATACTAAGGCCATATACCACAAACCTTTTCAGTCATTTATATTTATTTTTTTATGTCAAGCTCTTATTCCAGTGCTGTGATACTGAATGTACATGTAACGCTGTTACATGTACTGCTAAGCAGCATTTTAACAGAAGGGGGCGCCTTTGTGTTACAAAATGCAAATGATACAGCTCACACACCCAAAGCTTTGTATTGATGACCTGCCTCCTGAAAAGCTCTCTTCATTTTACCTGCACACACAAAGACACGCACGCACGCACGCATGCACACACACACACGCACGCGCGCACGCACACACACACACACACCTGGAAGCCAGCCAGAACAAGCAGATGGCAGGAGAAGCTTTAGTGCCACTGATACAAGGTCAGAAAAAAACCCTAATGCTGCAAACACCATAAACCTCTTAGTGCACACACAGGCACACAAACAGTTTACAGTTCAGTGACTAGTTAGGTGCCAATTATACATCCAGTGAACACACATACATTTACAGGTGCCAACACCAACTCACATTTTAAATGCTGAAGCACCAACACACACTGAGAATATGTTAGTATGCTTGTTATCCCATTAATTCTGCTGAATCACACTGTGGTTTATTTCAAACAACATTCTCTTTTGTAATTTTCCATTTGCTTTTGAGGAAATAAATGTAGGAAAGAGAGCAAAGGAGGAGCTGAGAGCCTTTTTTTAGTTCAAGGCATCTTTGTGAGTCTGGGAATTTAAAGTAGGTGAAATATTCCAGTGACAATTTAAATCCTACAGTGAATCATGACAGATAATTTGCATCTCAGTCCTCTTTCTTGTCTTCATTCTGTCCATTTACTGTTCATACTTCCATCTTTTTTCCACTTTTCCCCCTCTCTCCCTCCTCCTCCTCTCACTTTGTCGTCTGGCAGAAAATCAGGGCTGTTGGTGTTTGTATGTCAACATGTTGACAGTCACAGTGACTAGCCTGAAGATATTCACCAGCCTCAGCATCTGTGCATGCCTGTGTGCTTGTGTGAGTGTGTGTGTTTGTGTGTGTGTGTCTGTCAATGCTTCTTATTTTACATGTTCTCGCTGCTAGAATCCACTGTTGGTGAGCGTTGAACAAAACAGTCTTGACAAGTGGAGACTGAACACCTACAGCGATTTGCCCCCAAAACAAAGTCTAATGTGTCCTAATTTAAACAAGCATCTCTTCTGTGCCTCACTGCTCGTCTCAGTACTGACATACAGCTATCATAAAATGGCTTTTCCAAAACACCATTTTTACAGTTTCAGTCTAGACTTGAGTCCAGCCACTAAACTTTTTGATTCTCTCTACAACTTCTCATCCATGTTGACACAAATGGCCATATTATATGCCCTCAAAAAACGAGTAAGGGGACCTTGATTTAAGATTTTTTCTCAACTCCTTTTGCATAACTTAAATATTGAATGGTGAGGCTTTCTTTGTAAAAAAATGCAAATGAAACAAGAAGCTAATTCATTGATTAGTTGATTGACATTGACATATAATCAGCAAACATTTTGATCATTTAATTGTTTAAGTCATATTTCATCAAAAATAGCGAAACAATGCCAAATATTCTCTTTTTGGCATTTGGACTTTTTGTCGGACCAAACAAGACATTTTAAGACTGTAAAGTTGTGATAGGTATGTTTGACAAAATCATCAGATTAATTGATAATAAAAATAAATATTAGTTGCTGCCACTGTTTACTCAAATGCTGGGAGTCAGCACAACCTTTGCCACGTGTCTCCCATCTTTCCCTTCTCCCCTGGTACTGTTTAAATCGCACCGCCTCACCTTGTGTGCTCTCCTCTCCTGCTTGGCCTTCATCTCTGCCAGCAGGCCGCTGCCCATCATCTGCACTCCCGGGTACCGCCTCCCTCCCTGTGGACTGCCCCTGCCGTCTGAACCCTCCCATGGCTCATCTATGGAGTCCGGCGTCCTCAGCTCTTCTGATCGGTCTGAGCTGCTGCTGTAGTCTGTGGGCTGTGAGCGGCTGGAGGCATCTCTACAGTGGAGACAGAACTTATTGGTGAAGCTGGGGTAGACTGGTACATTCAGACATGCAGATACTCTATTGTTCTAAAACAGAAAAATTATCTCACTTTTGTTCATCCATACCTTGACTTTGACTCAGGTGCTGGGCTCTTCACTGCCACCTTAGGTGAGGAGGGCTCCTCAGGGATGGTGGAAGTTGTCGTTGAACCTACAGAGGCTGAGGATGAGGACAGAGGGGTCGCCTGGTTTTTCTCTGACTTATCTGATTTGTCAGATTTATCCGATTTGTCAGATTTGGAGGATCGTTTGATGAGGTTGAGGAATCCTCCTTTGCTCTTTTTTTTCTCTCCATCTTGAGACTCTGAACTCTTCAGGGAGCGTCTGAGAAGAGAATGACAGAAAGGCAGACAAAGCAACAGAAAGAGAAAACAGAAGAAGATTTAACATGTTTGTTGTATATGAAACAGATGATGATGATGATTACAACAAACATTAGAAACAAGCACAGGTTAATACACATCTACTGGAAAAGAATCAAATACACTACTGTCCTTAATGAGGAAAATACAAATACAGCAAAGTCCTTACTTGGAATCCATCTTGGTGACTTTTTTAGAGAAGAACTCATCTACACCCTCATCCACCCTTCCCATGAGGCCGTTCTGCTCCCCATCCTGAGATGGAGCACTGTTGATTTGCTGAAAGAGGAGGTTGAAGAATCTGACACCATGTCTGGACCATCTGACAAACAGTCGATCTACTGTTTCCAAGCGTGAGTGGGTACTTGGTCTACTCATGTTTTAGACTTCACACACAAAATCATGATATGGATTTTTAGTTCTTTAGTGCAGCTATCAATTTTGAAAGAACTACCTGCATATGATCAATTCATAGAAGAACTATTCATCTTTGCGGTTTAATTTCATCTTGCAAAGAAGTCAGTTTTCAGTTTGTTTTCCCGCACAGCTTTACTCACAGGGACTTTGCTGGAATGTGTTTTTTTGTTTCTCCGGGGTCGTAGTTTGGTGAAGTGCTGCAGCTTTTTTTCCTCCTCAGACGGCAGCTCCACCATCGTTCCTGGCGGACGTTGCTCCAGTTTGGGCAGGACCTGAGATGGAGTGGGCGGAGTTTGAGATGAAGTTGAAGTGTCCTCCACATGGATAGGCACGTCCTCCAGGGCCTTGTCCAGGTCAAACTCCATCTCTGTAGGTTTGTAATTAGATATATGTTGAATATTAGATATACTAATACACTAGATGTACTCTTATCTAGCCTAAGTTGCATCAATATTGAGGAATTATTTGAAAGACCACATACAGGATGATTGAAACTTGCCATCAAGTAAGCTTTTCACAGTATGAAGCAGAAAAATTACACACTACTTGATTCATATATGACACAATGTCCTATAAAACATAAACTAAAAAAACTAAATAAACTGCTTACCAAAGGCACGAGACACTGGTCGAAGCATTCTGCTGTGGATGCTTTTCCTCTTGGATTTAGGAGTCATCTGAAGACAGAAACAAATAAATTGACATTTGTGGCAACTGTGAACAAAAACTGATTACTATATACTATATATCATATATATATATCACAAAAACATTATAGACGAGTACAACTACGTCTGCAACTGTTTGACCCTGGATTACCATTAGGGAGTTTAAATGTAAACACATAGTTGGTTACAGACTGTTAGTTTAAACGTCATTTAATCAAGCAGATCTATGTAAGTCAAAGTCTTTTCGTAACAAACTATACTGGTTATCAAGTAATTTCTCTATAAAACTCTCCAGAATTCACTACCGTATTCTTTGGTTAAAGAAAAACTATACTGATAGCTGGTCAATAATTACAAAATAAAAGTTCACCGACACTGTTGTGGCCACTTAATAATAGTAAATGGTACAGTAACAGCACAGACATCTTTATCTAGAAAGGAACTTGTTATGTTAAACAAGGTTAACAAGGCACACTAGTGAATTAATTCAATGTTTCCCTCATTATTTGCCCTAAAACATAAAGTGAAAGAATCCGGGCAGCTGCTGGGCTTATGAAGGAGCATACAGCTAATTCCACTGTCTTCATACATGAGTAGATATTTACACAGTAGCACCAAACACATGTTGCATATTATATTGTGCATTAACAGGGTGGTGATGACAGACATGGTGCATTGAGCGGAGAGGAGCAGTGCAATACGGCTGAATACATTAAAAATATAGAACGTTTCTATTATCAGCATTCAACAGTGTGAGGAAGTGGTAGACAAATAACTATATGCATCCTACTGTACTCAAGCTGTTGTTTTCTACTCTATTTTTTAAGTTGAAGAAATCAAATATCCAAAAATACAGGAGGCTCTGTGCTACAGCAAAGCACAGGACTGAATAGCAGGCAGGCACAGTGAGGAGACACAGAAAAGGAAAAGAATAGTAAGACTTCAAGATAGAAAGGAGAGTGTAGAGGGACAGTCCAAGATTACTTACACTGGTGCAGCACAAAGTCTCCATGGAGCAAAGGTAGAAAGAGAAGGAAGAAAAGAGGAAAAGAAGATTGGAGAGAAAGAAAGACAACACACAGTAAGGCCGAAGACAAAAAGGCATAATGAAAGAGCCATGACAGCTGTGACCACTAAATGTAGCCTTTTTGCAGCACAAAGCAGAGGTAGGCAGGAGAGAGGGATAAAAGATGAGCAGGGAGAGCAGGTGTATTTAGTAAGAGAGCAGACATACAGACAGACGCACACACAGACGAACATGCGGCTTGTTGTCGACCGCAGCCTGCATTTACAACTCTTTTCTGTCGAATGATCGATCACACTGGTATTCCCTTTCTGCTGCCAACAAAAGTATCTACATGGCCAACTAGAACCATCCTTCATCTCAAGACCTATACAATGTTCACAAAGGTTTAATAATCTTGAACAGAGATAGGTGAAGGTGTAAATAGGTAAAGTAAATAGGTTTCACTCTGCCTTAGTTTAAATCTTTTTAGTCTGGGAGAAAAAAAAATCCTACATAAATGATTTCCTATTTTTATTCTTCTATTACATAATCCATAAAATTGAATTTCTAGAAACATAAAACTTTGGTCCTGTTAGATTTAGGCATGTATACAGTACATCAAGACAGTTCATGAAATGAATATCAAAATCAATCCTTTTGATTTTGATCCTTTTCATAGATTTAGAGTTGTCTATTTTGCCCAGCAGAGGGAAATATCAAGACAGGTGCAATTGGTAGTATTTGTGTAAAGCAACCAACTTTAACTTGGCCTTTAATCTTGGTGGCAAGACAGAATCAACATTTTGTATTTTAATGTAAATCCAGGCACATGCAAAGCACAACTAGTTTATGAATTATAAAACAGGACCACACTTCAAACCCACACTCATTTACTGGCTTATTAAGACAACCTGTGTTGATTCTACACAGATAAAAATCATGGTCACTTAAAACTTACTCTAACCTACCATGCATGTCTCCAGATCCTCCAGCCTCTCAGCCTCCAATATTTCAGTTGAAGCCCGTTTAGGAATCTTCTCCTCGGGGACGTCCAGATCCACGGACTCCTGCTGCACCAAAGGGCGACCTCGACGTACCAGATGGTCTGCCTGAGAGGATGAGCGCGAAGACAGGAACCGTGGAGGAGAGGTGATGAAGGAAGAAAGTGAACAGAGAGACAAAGATTGGTAAGATTGGATGAGAAGCGGGGAGTTGTAAAGGCCAGGAGGAAATGAGGGAGACAGAGAAAACGAATGATGGAAAAACAGAAGAGAGGAAAGGCAGGGTCAGATTTATGCTTTAAAACTTAAAATGCTTTATTTCAATGAGTCTGACTGGAGAAAAAAAAAGTGCCGCTAAAGAAAGTGACAACACTTAAAAACGGCTGCATTGGCCTGTGTGTTAGTTCAATGCATAAATAACATAATTATTTAATGTGTGAAAAGAAAGTCATTGCAATTTCTGAATTGACAAAAAATATGAGCCTGAATGTGGCAGAAAATATGTTACAGACAATTTAGGCCTGAAATTAAAGAGCCATTGTGAATGAATCAGTAAAGCATTTGAGAGCTGTGGTGATTGTAATCTTACCAGAGTGTGTTGTGAAGTGGAGAGCGCCTCCAAAATCTCATCAACAATGCGGTCAGACAGGAAGGAGGCTAGACTCAGCTTCACCTCACTGACACAGAGAGAAAGTGAGTGATGGTCAGAGGGCAAAGCAAGACTGAAGAGAGGACGTACAAGAGACGTTCACAACAGACTGAAACATAACAGTGCTATGTAACACACACCTGATCTTGTTGATAATATCCACCCCAGACTGCTCCAGGAGGGTTTTGGTGACAAAGCTCTTGGGTACAACCACCTTGGCTGAGCTGGCCTTCATCAGCTCTGGACGAAGATTACTTTTCTTCATCACATGGGGACACAAAGACTCTGCTGTGTTTACCATGGACTCCAACAGAGTCTGGAAAGAGTGAAGTGAATTAATTAAAGTCTTTTTCTTAGATTGTGTGGTGGTTAACTTTCAATGTCTCTAGGTGGCATCCATTTACCAGATTTGACTGTCTTAAACAAACCATGTAAATCACAAATACATATATGCATATAATATATGATAATATCTGTTGCATATCTGCTGTAAGGGCTTTGACGCCTTCTTTACTTCCTTTCAGGGACAAAAATAAAACATTACTTATGACAAAACCCTACCTGCAGTTGTTGGTCCATGACAGTTGTCACCTCCCCAGCCATAGACTCCAGTTTCTCCTGGATGGGTCCCACTGAGGAGCTGTTCACCTCCTCTCTGGATGCTGATCCAAGGTGGTAGAGGTTAGGGAGCAGCTGGGGGTTAGACAGAAGAGGACATGGAGATAATATTAGACTAAGGAGAAAAACAAAATGCTTCATAGTCAAATGAGCTTGTTGATGAAAAGTGTGAGTTCACATACACCTCTAAGACTCGTGGAAAAACCTGTGTCTCCTCACCGTTTTTGAGTTTCTGGCATCTTTGATGAGGTTCTCTGCTGACCTCACGTCCTCCAAGATGGTGTCTGTCTCTGAGTTCCTCAGAGAGTTCAGGTGGTCCTGCACCTTCACACAAATCCTGTCAATCATCTGGAAGACAAAAACAACAAGACAGGAAAGTTTGTGTGTGATATATCACAGACCCAGTGGCTTCACTGGGTTTCCTGACTCAGTTTAGTATCATTGGTGACACAGTTACGCAAGGGTTCAATGTTATATTAGTTCAATACTAATTTGACATTTAACAGCAACTAGTAGTTTTCAATTCTCTAGCCATTCACTGTTATCACTATGACACTGTGGAGGAAAACTGATTAAGAGCATTTGCTACATGATAACATAGAGGTGAGATATCTTTTGGTTTAGTTTTGTCTGCACAGATTAAAAAAGTAATTGAACAGATATTACCAAGGTGGAAAATGAGAGCACAAGTAAAAATGTAAAAGTTCTCTCTCAAAAAACAAAAAACATACTGGGCAAAAAGACAGAGAACAAAAATGTTTCCAGCTGTGAAACCTCTTTCCCAGTTCTGACCTTTACAAAGAAAGTTAAAGTGCCATTTAGAATTTAGATATCAACTGTCCTATTTACTGTATTTGGCAGAGCTGAATGTACATTATACAAGTACGTCTTCAGTTTGGTCAAAAATATACAGATTCCAGTGCACATGGAGTCAGTAATAAATATGTGTGCGTTGTCTCAGTTTGTGTACACACCTGTTGTGTGGTTGTGGTCACGATGCCCTGCTGTAGCCGATAGGCCTGTTCCTGTAGGTATTTTCTGGTCTCATGGTTCCTGTAGAGGTAATTCTCAATCTAGGAAACAGACACACACATACACACACACACACACAGACATAAACACTGTCAAGACAATAAACCAAAGTGATAATAATTGAAATGGTGCAAAGTAAATTTATCCAATTTGATTGAAAGTTGTAGCCACTGTTTTTCTGCGTTTATATAGAGTATGTTTTAAACACTATGAAAACAGTAACGTATCAGACAGAGGTGATGGAGGAATCAGTGGGATTTCTCTATATACCTTTAGCAAGGCGTCCTCTGTTTTCTCGGGGCTGGCCTTCAGAGCCTGTGAGGCATCGATGATGGGGATGGGCATGAAACGAATGGTGAAGTTTCTAACAGACACGCAGCCGGAGGACATTATTCCACAGTTAGTTCACATTATTGAGGAAGGGAAAGAGACACACAGGTTTAGTGATGCACAGACAGAGGGAAGTGATGCATTTGAACACACATGGTAGAATCAAACAATTCAGAGTTTCTAATTTTTCATTAGTACAAAATTAAACAAATGGTGACTCAAACAGCATCTACATATCTCATTCATTATATATCAATCAATCAATCAGTAACTCGGGGCGGGGGTGTGGGTGTGTGTGTGTGTGTATGTGTGTGTGTGTGTGTGTGTGTGTGTGTGTGTGTGTGTGTGTGGGGTAACAAGGCAGAGATAGCATTAAGTGTGGCCCGACCCCTCAGCTGCTATCATACTGGTCTATTACAGAGCAATGAACTGGCACCATTAGAGAGGTTACGGGTCTTGAAATAGAGGTCACCACACAGTATTAATATTCATATCATGATAGAGGAGCGGGAATGAAAGGAAGGAATGAAAGGAGAAATAAAAAACAGAGAAATGAAAAAAGCAACGTTTTGCAGTATTGAATATCTTAACAAAAGATTTTCTAGGAAACACGAAAACAGGAGACAGGAGTAGATTTACTGAAGGTAACAAAACTGCACACACAGACACACACAGACACAGACACACAATTGCACTGCTAAACAGAGTGGAGATCAGGAGCAAGAAAAAGAAAATGGTTATTTCAATAATACAATACAAAGACTCAGAGGGGAAATGGGGAGATGTGCTGCTGGGAGAATATGATAAACAGAGACAGGAGATGAGAGAGGCTGATGTACAGATGTGTCCCAGAAGCAAATTTAGTTAGACACACGTCATTTCACACACAATATATTCCACATTCAGATCCACAGACAGAAGAGGCAGTAGACAAACATCTGATTTATTCACTCTTGACTCGCACTTTTTCTCTCCATTAATCTGCTGTGCTTTCTCTTCCTTTCCCTTCCTCAGCATCTTTCCCCGCGCTGTTCCCTCTTTGTTGTAGTATTCCCTGTGTTTGTCGCTCTCTCCCCTCTCTGCCTTCCTGCCTCTCATCCTGTCTTCCTGTCTAAACACACCTTGAGGTTTCCTCCTTCCCAGCACAAGGCAAAATGACATCTGAGCTAACCACACATTCATCCCTTCAGCGTGTAATACACCAGAGCCACTGCAGTGCATGTATGCTGTTAGGATGACGATATTGCAGGATTATTAAATTTCATCCACAGTAGAAATACATGCATGCATGGACTCACGAACACATAAATACAGGCAGTGCTGCTTACTTCTCCAGAGCGGCTGCTACATCTTGAAGACCCTGAGGGCTGGTGTTGTTTTTATCCCAGATCACAGTCCTGTACAATAAAAAACAAAAAACCCACACACAATGTGACAGAAGCAAAAAAAATCCAATGTTCTTCTTCACAGTGATCGACAAAATTATTCCTCAAAAAAGACGTGTGTGGGTTTCAATGCACATAGCAGCACAATAGCAGTACCATTATTCTCACACTACATTCTGTGACCACACAATATAATGGAACTTGTATAATATATATAAAACTGTATTTCATGCCTTTTATTAAATTTGTAGTTTATATCATTTTATTGGTAACACTTTACTTTAATTCTCTATTTATCTTTTTTTTTTTTTTGATAATTGGTGTGTAACACACTCTGGATACTGCAAGTAGACATGAGCATTTATGTATGTTTTTGCCAACTTTAACAGGCTGGTGTATAAAGAGACAATGAATGACAATTTCATAGAAGAAGTCATTACTTTTGACCAATGCTATACATGAATAAACGCTTAAAAAATGTGCTAATATCTACAATTACCATTTATTGTCTGTATACTGCTTAGAAATGCTAAGAGAGAGGAAAGTTTTAAAGTTATTTCATTTAATCTCATTTTAATTGTTTTACTGACCTTTATTGACCATAATCGACAGCCATGTGATATACCCCGTGACCGCTGAACATACTGTACACTCACCTGAGTTTGGAGTTGATCTGCAGCGCCTTGGCCAGCATCTTGGCTCCCATGTCGCCCATGGCGTTCCCGCTGATGTCGAGTCTGGTGAGCGAGGAGTTGCTGCCGAGGGCGTTGAGAACAATGGTCAGATCGCTCTTTAGTTTGGAGTCCGCTAGAGACAAGGAGGTGAGGGGCTGTGGAGGGCAGGAGAATCAAGTGTTGAGGGTTTGTATGATGAGAACAAAAGGCAAATTATAATCACACTGCGTGTTATATCTGGTGTGTGACTGACAGTGTTACAGGACAGCAGGGCAGTCTCAGGGTTTATCTGCCACCTGCAGGCTTTTCAATAGTGGCAGAATTGATGAGCATCCCTCCAGTTGTGTGTGTTTACTCGGCTTTAGCTTCACCAGTGAGCATTCAGAAAGGAGCTTTCTGGGCTCTTGTTTTATATCACTGCCAACTTTAACAAAAGCTGTTGTTGTATTTTGTCATTGAGAGCATTAATATTCCTTCAAGCAGTGCCAGCTTGTTTTCCTGTAATAGTGTCCTTGAATTTATTCCCTGTAAGTGGATGCCTTGTTTTCTTCTTTATTTGGCTTAATGCTGACTCTGTGTCCTACACTCACCCTGTGATATTTGGCACTTCTCTAGAGAAAGTGTGAGCATGCAGTCGGGCATTACTATCAGAGTTCACAGCAACTTTCACGACATTACAAAAGTCTGTGAAGCTTTTTAAAATTAGCTTAAACTATAAAAAGAATATTTTCTTCATATTCAGAAGCCCTAAGGATTCATTCCCTGTCTACAATTTTAGACTATTGTCATTACCAGAACTATAAATCTAGAGGTTCCATATCTATATACCGCAATTATACTGCATTTAAACTCTATGTTCCTGCGGGGGCTTGTGATTCAAGAGGGCAAACCCCAATTAAACATTTATCAAAGGGTCATGTGGACTTGCAAGAGAGTCTAAAATGTCAGTGACATTATCATTCAAAGCTCCACGGGGCAAAATGAAACATTCATCACTGGACCAGGTGGATATGTCTTTGTGATGTGAGAGTGACACGAGGGTTTACAAATCCCCAACAGCGTCCGTCTGTTCACCAGGTTTGAGCTGCTCTGTGATGAATGCCCTTTACACAGCTGGAGACTGCTGTGATGATCTGCTTTGTACAGGCCGGTCATTTCACCGTCTGCTGAGTCACTTGCTTTTTTTCTTTTTTCGACATTAGAGCAATGATACAGGTACATTGGCTTAACAAAAAGGAAAAACCAATGTCCCTTTTACTTTCTATGTGCTCTACAGTACTGTTTCATTGCAAAGGTGGAGGATTAAGATCTTATACTTTAGTTAAATACCACAATTTAAAAATAATGCATTCAGAATCTTAAGTAAAAAGACATAAACATTAATGGAAAAATGTACTTATATTTCTAAAAGTACTAGTACTTATTTTGCATGCAAAATGAGCTCTGTCTCTGAGTTACATGATCGTATATCATACTATTTGACTATTATTATTATTGGGCAGTAACATATAAACTGCATTTGAATGCCATAGCTGGCTGTGGTTTAGTTGTTTCATATAGTGTTGAGTGGCTTAATTCGCTGTATAACGACATATTGCTTTTATAAAACTGTAAAAAAAAAAAAAAAAAAAAAAAAAAAAACAACAACAAAAAAAACAACAACATGACATCACTTAATGTTAAGGACATGTATCTAGTGGATAAATACGATTCTGGATGGGAGACACAGAGGACGTCATATTCTGCAGATGAAAAAGCACACAGCAATGCAGGAAACCCTCATAGTAAGCTCTGTGAGCTCAGATGGTTTTATAGAGGTCGACTACTGTGGGCATCTGTCTATGTGTGTGGTGATGAGTGTGTGGAGAAACAGCATCAACATGGTTATATGGGCAGAAAATTACTTTTTTTATGTCTTGTCTGAGGATGCGGAGAGAATTATTTACTGCCTGCATGTGTTCATGTCGGGCACACGGCAGACATTAAACATGCAAATTCAAATAGGTACAAGTTTATGCACCAGTAGCTACGGTAGCTAATTCTTCCTCCAGTGCTGTAAAGAAGAAATGAGATCCTTATCACTGGGTTCCCTCACTGTCAACAGCTAAACAAGAATAAAAACTTAAAAAGCAGTGCACAACGTACATCTGGTTGTCACAGTAAATGCAGAAGAAGAGAAGTCTATGATAGTAAGATCTGTCGTAGAGTAAAAATAATTGCTATGGCTGACGCTACAACATTTTCAGCCCCTGTCAATCACTAGAAATCATGAAATTATTACCCTGGATATGCATGCACATCTAATTTAATCAAATCAAGAAAATGAGAAACTGTAACCCAAGACATGCAAATAAAAGTGACCTTTTACCACAGACAAATTAACCCATTTAATGTCTGTCCGTAAAATGATGAATTGTGTTTAATATTGTGATGAAACTCGTGTGTACTGCAGTGTGTGTTCAGCAATAGAATATCCTATCTCTCCACTACAGTCTGCACTGGCTCTGCAAAAGGGAAGATGGTATGCTACTACTGATTATTCTATATCAAACACTTAAGAATTGTTATTATCACTGTCTCGCAGGAGAAAGTGGGGCTGTTTCTATTGTTGATTTTTCCTTCAGATACTCTTCTCCTCTTCTGCATCTTCTTCTCTAGCTGCTAACATTCACAAGCATGGGCTGATAATTACTATCAAGTATGTTTTCTCTTGGGCTTTGTATAAAGTTTGTATATGGAATACATATGCACCGTGTTATTTGTTTATCACAGCCTTTTCTGCAAGTAGACGAATGTGGTTCTCATTTAGGTTTTTACTCTGCAACAGCATTGTTAATTACTCTTTGATAACTCTATTCCACCAGGGGTTTTATTCTTTTAAGGCGCTCTGTGAATTCTCATTAAGATCTTCATTAATTTATGAAGACTGATCCTGGTGAATTAGTGAAGCAGACACCTTCTCACTGATAAAACACAGAATAGAGTTTGTTTATCTGTTTATATTCTGGCAGTTAAGAGCTATCCCAGGTCTAACTGTCTGGACTCACGCCAGGACACAGAAACACAACAGGGTAAATGTGCTGCCTGGAGCTGTGTGTGTGTGTCTCACACTCTGTATGTGTGTTTATGCATGTTTTCCGGGACACACACGGCGAAAAAAGGTCAGGGTGTACTGCTGAATAAAATTTGAAACTTATAGTCTCGCTACAGGCCTTCATTTAACACACTGTGCACCTTAGAGATATTACTCCCAGGCCCCTGCTCTAAACAAACCTCTGCACTCTGAACTTCTTCAGAAAAAAACCCTTCTGAGATCAGCTGTCCTGTGCATATTACAAAAAAACTTCAATTCCTTCCACCTTCATTTTCATTTCCTCCCTATCTGCCATTTATACATCCTTTGACCCACCCCTTTTAACCTCTTTCTCTCTTCTTCACCATCCATCAAGTTTCTCCCTCCTTTCCTTCTTTCTTTGTATTCCAGCGTCCACCTGCACAGCCAGATAACCAGCTCATACACATGCTCCATCTTCTTATGCACATAATAACACACACACACACACGCACACACGCACACACAAACAGACTACAAGCACCAAGAGACCAATCCAGCACAGAGCAGCTCAATAGGACCATCAATCTAGCACATCCAGCACTGTGGGAGACAAAGAGAGGCAGGCACTGGGGCAAAATTTGTTACACCTCCCATGATGGAGAGAGAGATAAAAGGAGCGAGATGGATTGAGGGACGGGAAGGAGGGGAGATGGCTTAAAGCTGGAGATTGCTTTGTTTTGACTTCAGGTTTTTCTGAAAAAACTATGGAAGAAAATGACCACTTACCCAGCATCTTTTAATGTCTATATAATACCCCATTAGATATTGATCGACACCCTGGATCGAGCAGAGATGGTTTTCATGAGCATAATAAAAAGTTATGGTACTTAGTTTAAATACTTGGGTCATAATCCCATGAGTTCTGGCGTACTATACTTTGGTGGTTTCCCTTTGTAGTGCAATAACCCACCCACAACTCACTTTTACTACCACTTTAAAACTAATTAAATGACATAGATTAGATTTAACAAAAAGTTACACCCAAGTGTTGTGTGTAGCACATGGTTTTCCATCAATTTGATCAATGCAAGTAAATTCTATTCGCACCACCCTCCACTGGAGAGGTCGGAGGTCAGCTGTAGAGCAGCTGGTGGAGATTCGGTAATTTGCTTCAGCCGGTTAGATGCTTGCTGATACAGGATTTGGACCTGAGGCATCTGTTTGGAGGACGCACTCTGTTACCAATAGGCTAGAGCTCCTGACAAAGCAAAACATACAGTAGAAGGAAATTAAAAACTCACCGACTCCTCCTCTTGAATCATGTGAACCAGACTGTCCAGCACCGGAGCGAGGTTTCTAAGTAACGTAGAGCAAAGACAGGATGAGAAACTGAAGAATGAACTGAATGCACGTGATGAAAATGATACTCACAGAGAGAACAATCTTTTGAAAAATGCTCAAGTCTACAAAAATCTACTGAATTTTATTGTTTGATGTTAGCTGGTTTTTTGGCCCAGTGATGGGCATGTAATGAAATGGTCTTTTGTCATCCACAACAGACCAAGCCAAATCGTTCTAAGCCACAACCAAACCAATCCCAGGACTAACCACTAAGGTGTCTCTCATAGCCACATACTGTACGTGTCCACTGTGTGTGCACTAGGGGTGGGCGATATGACGATATTAGATCGTGAAGGATTACAACGTGAAGACGATCTTTCAAACTGCAGAGATCGTGGGATCGTCTAGGGCACATTCTATAAATTGCAGTTCTATGCTGATGCACCGACGCACCAGACATATTGACGTCGTCAACCTGACTGACCAATCATAGCGAATTACGGGCAGTGACGCGCTTTCCTACCCGCCTCCTTGTTTGTGTGTGTAGCGGTAGCACATGGAGAGCGATGGCTGAAAGCCAAACGGAGTTGGTCGCTAAAAAAAATTCCACCTCCATTATATGGAATTGGTTTGGATTTTCCGCAACTGATCAAGCGCAAGCAAATGTAATTTGCAAAGTTTGCACAGAAACCATTTGCACGTCGGGTGGTAACACGACGAACCTGTTTAATCACCTGAAGAGGAAGCACTAAAGCACTAGCACTAGCAACTGTTGCACTAAAAGAGATAACCACAGTCACTTTAGTTTGTATTTTTGCGTTTCAATAAGCTATTTAGTGTTTTGATAAATAAATCCTGTTTAAATGAATGTCAGTAATGTCTTTGATTGATATTTTACTTTCTGTTACTACTTTTGCAAGAGTGCACTTTATTAGGATGTTGTTGTTTTCCTTAAACTTTACGTTATCTGCACATGCAGGCAAAACTGCGACTATTTGAAATAAAATCTGTTAAGAAAGGTTCGTTGGTCTAAATTGTCTGTTTTTCTTTTTCCAATTTAAGATCGTGATAAAATCGAAATCGTGATTTTATTTTTAAAAAATCGTGATATGATATTTTTGCCATATCGCCCACCCCTAGTGTGCACCCTCTCCTCCTGCCCTGTATTCTTACTTTGACTTTATGTTGTTGAAGTTCTTGCCCAGAGAGAGGTGTCTGATGGAGCGGTTCTTGGCCAACCACACCAGCAGAGTGGACAGGTCTGAGTCCAGGCCTGCGGGTACAGAAACAGGTTAGAAATTATGAAAATAAGGTTGACTGATCTCTGCTGATTTTTGGTAGCTGGGTTTCCACAGCTTTTAGAGTTAATTAGGTTTGAAAAGCTCATTAAATACATGGTACAATATGCATGGAAGCTGCCATCTCACCATTGTCAGAGATGTCTAGGCTGGAGATGTTTGGGATCTCAGCAATACAACCTTCAAGGATCTGAGAACCTCCTGACCGCAGCTGTAAAGACGGGGGGTAAGGTACATCAGACACAATGTAGAACAGTCTATCTCACTGTAAGTAACCCCTGTAAAACTGCAATTCTTCAACTGCTTGCTGCACTATTGTTGGAACAAGACAAACTCCAACACTGACTGCAAAGTTGATGCACAGAAGAGGTCAAGCCTCCACTGTGCATATTCAACAAAACGACATTCAAGGATCTATGAACCTGTATGCACAAGATTCTTTAGGTGAAACATCCAACTAAAGATGGAAACGTGTCGGGCAGTTTTACAGTATGAAGAGAAACTTGTGGTATTAGATGATTAACATGATAATGGCAAATAACAACACAGATCATCCAGAACAACTGCAGCTGCAACTGTTACTTGTAAATTTAATCATTTCCTTCCTAGTGAAATACTGTGTAAAAATGGACCCAGAGAAGAACAGGATCAGCGGGGAAAAAAAGTATCTGCCAAAACAGACGTGCAAATAAAAATAAGGAAGAATGAAATGTTAATTATTAAGAGTCAGTACATTAGTACTTACACAATGGCCAAGCTTACAGAGGCATTAGGGGGAAAGAACAGCATGTCAGACCAAGCCAACAATTACCAACAACAAAACTCACAGATGCTTAATGATCACTCTTCTATTCTCACACACACACACACATCAAAGGCGCACGCAATTACACAAACACACTCAACAGGGAGTCCTTATTTTGCACGCTGTCAACCCACTCAAAGCACAGTTCTGGGCTGTCTCCACCAAACGGTTCATTAAGGCTTCGAAAAAGGACAGAACGCATCAACCCCCCCCACCTGCAGCTTCAGTTTGCGAAGATTTCTATGGGAATCTGGAATTGGATTTCCTGTGTAATTTGTATTCATGTGTTATCTTTAGCAATCCCATTGAATCTGCAGCAAGCTGTCTTTATCTGTTTGAGCAGGGATGCAGGGCGACGAGCTGGTGTGTGTCTGTGCGTGTGAGAGAGTTATGATGAAACAATTAGAGAGAGAAACTGAACATCCCCCCACCCCACCCCACCCTGACCCCCCCCAACTTTGCCCTTCCCTCTCTGTGTTCATCTCTGCCAAGTATTCCATTATACAGCCTCTTAACAGTGTCACTGGCCTGTCAGAGGGTTTTGGAGTGGATCCTAAAAAGCTTGCATTGAATGAATATTGCCTCCAAACTATAAAAAAAAAAACCACACTTAAAACTTTATCTGAGAAGAGCACTTACGCCAACGCTACTAATACTAGAAACAGGAATCAAACAAAACCAGTGTCACCCTAAAATCCACTGGATGCAGTCTTTTGACTTGCTCCACATAGCTTTCACTGTATTTGGCAGCATTGTGCTTAAACTGTTAAGTGTTGCCTAAATACTGAACAGGTTTGCCTGCATTATCATCAGCATCACTGTGCATTGAATCTAAATGCAGCTGCGGGATCCGTAGTTCTAAGCTCCTCTGCACTTTACACTTAAGTCATCTCTAATGAAGGTCAGGGGATTTAACTCGTCACATTAAAATTTGATTTTAGAAGCGTGTTCATATCATTCACATCATTTCATATTCATTTTGAACATGGTTTGGAAAAGTTCTCAGATTCCTGCTTGCCTTGCACACATTGACAAGCTGCATTGCAAAACTAGAAAGGCTTTGATCTGGATTTTGAGTATGCACGGAGACCCCCCCCCCCGTCCCCCAACTCCTCAATATGAACGAATGAACCCTGCCCAATGAGTAAAAATCCACTGAGAAGCCACAAGGGAATGATCCATCATGAGCCAGGCACAAATGGACACATTGTAAAACAATATCTTGACTTTTAATCAGATGATTTATGATGGAAAATGATGTGCAGTGTATCTCTGCGGATCTCACCTCGCAGCAGCTGAGGTCTAGAGATACGTCCTTCAGATTGGGGTTACTGGCCAGACCAAGCAGGAGTGCCCTAAAACAGTATTATTACAGGCAGTTAAAATGAAAAAAGTGAAAGGCATTCAGCAATGTAATTCAGTTTTTTATCATGACACTAAATGTTAGTAGAGTACATGTGTAATGCATGTGTACATCCACGTTTCTATGGATGAGTTATATTTTGTTCTGTTTTGTCAAATTTGTGACTATTTGTTCTCAAAACAATAGTAATTTTACTTTAAGTAAGAAAAAAAAGGTTCAGTGTCCCAGTTAGTCAGAGCTGTAGCAGCTGCTCGCTGTGATAAAGGTGGACAAGGCAAGTTTATTTTTTCTGTACCTTTAAAAGCTTTAAATGATGACATAGGTAGTAAAATAAGAGGAGGAACAAGAACAAAGTGTACGATCACAGAGAATGTGGGACACAAGAAGCTTCTCCTCACAGACACATTAAATGTGAATGAATTGTTGTCTCACTTGAGGGCCTCTGGTGGCAGCTTGGTTCCTGACACGTTGATGGAGCTGAGAGACATGGCACTGCTGAAGAAGTGCTTGAATGATGGCGGCACCTCTTTGCCTTTCCTACTGAAAGAGGAGGAAATAAAATGATATTAGACGGATACACCGATTATCAACTTTACAAGCAATTTTTAAGGCTTTTTTTGATCTAATACCATACAAGCCTCAATGATGAAGTTTCTTAAGCTGACCTGAGATTCAGGCAAACATTAAGCTTTTATTACACTTGCCATGGCCTAAAAGCCTGTGACCCATTTTAGGTTTTATCTACTCTTCAAGAAATCGTTTTAACTGCACAAAAAGGGAACAGAGGGGATTTTCAAAAAGGCAGAATCAGTTTAGGTCCCAGATGTACAATAACCCTCTCCCACCTCTGCCAGTATGTGCACTCACATTCTCCACTCTCAATTCTTTTTCTTCCCTCCACTGCTGCTACACTCACATCCTCTCCTCCTCTCCCCCTACTCTCTCACTTTTTCTCTGCCCCCACCCCCCACCCATCCCTATCTTCTGCCCCCCTCTTCCCCTGATGAAGTCCTCAACTCCCTAGAGACACACTGGAAAGAGAGATAATAATGGGACGATAACTCCACCCATCACCCATCTGTTACACACACACACACACACACACACACACACACACACACACACACACACACACACACACACACACACACACACACGCACTGAAATTTAAACAGTCTTGAATCTTGCACATCTACAAACTCAACAAACGCACATGCACACACACACATACGCACACACTTGTCACCCTGATCCTGTATTTTATCTTGTCTGTAATAGCATGTTGTCACCAGCAGGTGTCACACACCAACATACAGACTACATGGTTAGAGCTCATGGTCATGTCTGGTCAAATCTGAATTTTAGGGCAAAGTCCTACATTAAGCTTGACTAGCCCTCGATAGATGCTGTATAAGCAACTTACTGTAAACACAGCAAGAAACTCTGGTTGATGGGTTATGGACAAAAGCCAATCTCCCATCACTCACATGATGGATGGCTTTGTATAAATTTCATATTAAAACAAAGAGATCTTTTTCTTGCTAAAAATTAAGAATTGAACTGTTTAGGAATGAGAAGACAGTTCAGTTGGGCTTCTCTAATTTCACCGAGGTGACTCATTTTTAAAATCTCTTCTTTAACGCTATCATAACCACAGCTGTGCTTTTGTACCTGTTTGACCAATTCTTTAAGTGAATTCCTACTGTAGTTGCCTTGTTTATTACTTATATTACACAGTTTGTTTTTATTATATCAGACTTTTTTATCGTTAATCTCCTATTGTGCAACTGTCTGCTTTCAGTTGAAGCATGCAAAAGTCATTCAAAATGTACACTTGATCAATAAACCTTGGAGGAATGAAACTAAACAACAACAAAAGAATTTTCCTCTTCATCATCAGGTACCTGGTGGTAGTTCTCACCTGTGAGGGAAGACGCTCTTTGACACGTTGAGAACAGAGAGGTGTTGGACCGAACCTCGCAGCAGAGCAGAGCAAACCTGGAATACACACGCAATGTGTCACTGTAACATCTGAACTGGATAAACTGTCTCAAGTATTGTTTGATTTGTTACTTTCAATTACATTTTAAATCCTTATTTTGAAAATTTTAATATCAATTTCTTTTTCTTTTTTTGCACCTTCCAACCCTGTTGTGTGTATACAAGTCTGCAAATGTGTAAATGTATATGTGGCTGCACGTGAGAGCGACAGAATATGATTTAAGAGCTAATCAATATCTTCAATGACAGGCTGACAGCTGGCTACATCTCAGACTAATCAATAAGCTGTATTGGCTCTCAGACCCACATCAATATATCACACACAGTATTCTGACAACTACACAAGCAGCAGACAACAACTCAGATTGAGTGGGTGTATAAAATTGGATTACATTCCCTGCAACACAGATGTTAATGGCTGGCACTTCATCTTACAATGCAGTATAATGAGATATAACCCTAGCTGCAGGTTGTTTATTTAGGGCCTCATTCGTAGGGGTCTCACTATTATAAAACTGTATCTCTTTACTCATTTATTCCCTCCGAGCACCAGGTGGGATGTCATATCAGTGGGTGCCTCCCGACTCACCTGGTCCAATGAGCAGTCAGTGTTGGAGAGGTCAAGGGTTACCAGGCCGTTGGGTTGACCAAGGAAGTGGCAGAAATGCTAGAAAACAGAGCATAAAACAAACCACAGCACAGAGCGTTACAAAACAGAAGATGAGACCACGTTAATGTAGAGGGGTGTAACCATTCATCTGTAATGTATGTTAGTCGACTGCCGTGTTGTTGACCATAGTGAGAAAGCACTTCTCATGTGCTGCTGTAGATTACTGTTTCTGATTTATTCTCCTACTGTTGAGTTTCTACCATCTGTCTCCTCTTTCCTCATCAATTTTCATTCATACCTTTCCTGCCTCTCCATCATTTCTGATTTCCCACATCAAACCTCTTATCATTTCATACGTCACCAGATCTTTTCAATCAGTTGCTAGATGCTCTTTTTAAAGAAAAACTGAGATTCTGTCTCTCAGACAAACTGGCTTATTCCATATAGTGTAGTACAAAAGAAATTATTCATTTCCGTCTTTGGAAATCCAGCTTGATCTAGTAATAGGAGTTAATGTTTTCCCGTAGTTTTCCTGCACACAAATTAAAGGAATAGCTCTACATTTTGGTTAATACATTGTTTCACTTTCTTGCCTAGAGTTGGACTGACTTGACTGGTGTGTCTGTGCAGTAAATATGAATCTAGCTTCAGCGGCTGAATTTAGCATAAAGAGGGGAAAAAGGGGGAAAGAACTATCTTAGCTCTGTCAGGTAACAAAGTCTGCCTACCAGCACCTTCAAAGCTCACCCCTTTACTCAGTGATCTGTAGAAGCTGTTTTCCCTGCTTCCACTTCTTGTGCTGCATGTAGGCCAGATCATATTTACTGAACAGATGTGAGAGTGGTATTGATCTTTTCATCTAACTCTTGCTAAGAAAGTAAATAAGCATGATTCCCATAATACTAACCTTGATGCTTGTATATATCATGATTTATTGTCCAGCTACAAATACAGTAAATCCCTGTGATGGGTGTGATTGGGTGTGCTTGACTGGATTCTGATTTGTAACCCCACAGTAAAGAGTTTCTCCCACATCTCAGTATCTGTGCTCTGAATAGACGTTGAATGTCCTGAGTTGATGCTCTGCTACAGAGTGACTCGCTAACTGATTTATAACGGTCTGAAAAGGCCTCCCCATATCTACTGCAGCACTGAACTGTTTCAATCAATTAAGCGTTACTGATACCAGCTCTGAGATGGATTAGAAACTGTGTGTGTGTTTGTGCGTATGTACCTGCATGTCGTCTCCTCGGAGGATATTCCCTGAGAGGTCCAGATGGACCAGGCTGCTGGGGATGGACGGGTTGGCACTCAGTGACTGGCAAAGGCTGTTCACCCCTACACACACACACACACACACACACACACACACACACACACACACACACACACACACACACACACACACACACACACACACAGTGTCAGCATTATCTCAACCCTCAAGTCTCCCCCTGATGTCTTGACAGCATATTGAAGGAAATAGCAGAGGAAATGAGCAGTGGGTGAAGACAGGAAAGAACAGGAGCAGAATGCAGAGTGAATGCATGGAAAAGTGAAAAGAGAAGGCCTTCTCATGGTCGTGTAAATGTTATGCTACGCCTTAGGCTGTGTCACGCTATGTTGAGCTGTTTTTTATATATTCTTAAAAAACAGTTTTTAAATGTCATAAGATAATTTATGAAAATTAAATCAATAAAAGCAGGATTGTGTAATTAATAATGATGTAAAATGAAGCTCTGAGCAGCCACATTACGAGCTGTATTTTGACATACAACTGATAAAATGTGTTAACCCGTGTAACATCTATCACATGACTGACACACTGAACTTGCACTTTTATAAAGTCCTGACTCTGACTCTGTATGCCAGTGAATGAAGGCATGACAGTCGGATGACTGATTTGATTAAGAGATACAGATGAAAAGAGATGCAACAAAGGAAAAAATAAAGATGATTAAGAAAAGGAATATTTGTTGTATTCAAGATTTTCATATCAAATGCAAAGGATTCAACTTACTCAAGTTACATTCAGCTGAAACTAAAATTCAAACAGCTGAATTACAAGCTACATCAAAAAAAAATATCAGTGTTAAAAAAAGAATAAAATGTCCTCAATCCTCTACATCTGCTCTGAGCATTGGGGGCTTTTGGGGGTTTGGATTATGGATCGGGCCTTTAGCGAGACGAGCAGGGCTCAGTTAAAACAGCGCAGCCCCCTCACCAACCCTACACTGTGGAATATGATAGCTCTTCATTGATTGCCTGAGAGCAGAGCATGTTTACAGTGAGTCCCTACAGATGGTGCCTGGTGCTGCAGCACTTTGGATGAGAACCAAGAGGAAATTTTACCTGCAAGTGACAACAGCCACATTTAATCTGGAAATTATGATAATCCTCTGCAGTTTTGTTTTTTTTTTATCTGCCGGAATAGCCTCTGCACAACCAACTTCACGGCATTTCATTTAAGGACATTAGTGCAGAAGGATTTTTTCATAATGCCAAGAAGTTGTGGCTCTGGTGACTGAAGGAAAGTGATCTACTGAATAACATTGATGCAAATGAAAACATGCATATTGTTTAGACTGGCTTTGTGCACTCACACATTGATAATCCACCCCCCCCACCCCATACTCACAGTGGTAATAGTGCAATAATTAAGTGTCATTTGCATCCCAGTGGTAAGTGTGATCAGATTAGTGGAACATGTGAATTGCATGAGATCGCAGAGCCTGTAAAAAGCCAGCTGATCACAAAGCAGCATTTACATATTATTTTTTAAATAAAATCAACCAACTTTATCTCAGATTCTCCCAAGTTTTTATTTACCATTCACCAGTTTTAGCAGCTTTACTTGTAACAAATGACAGGGGAAGACAGCACATACCTTTGGGTGATAGTGAGGTTTTGGAAAAGTTTAAATGCTTTAGTCCCATTCGAAGTTTGGCAAACTGAGAACCCAGGGAGGAGATACCTACAGCAGGAGAGGGGAAACAGAGAGACGATGTCACTTCTCTCCCATGGGGCTGCTGTAGCTTCTTTCATCGACAGCCAGCGTGACTATAGCTACTATAACTTCTCACCTCTAAATGCAAAACTACTTTGCACATTTATTCAACAGTGTATGTCCTCATCCGACTTCTTTCTTTCTTTCTTTCTTTCATTAAAATCCAGCCTCATTTTAAAACAGGTTGCAGCATTGATTTAGCACTGATAAATCCTGCTTGAAATTAAAACAGATAACAATACACACAAATCTCAAGGGGGAAACAACAATGTGGCTGAATTTATCTCTTTAATTATTTTCTTATGTTTGTTTTGGAGAAGGAGCCTCCTTTTGCTCCAGTAAAATATCTGCAGTATGTAATCAGCCACAGTGACTAGTAAACAGGCAAAACAGCTTCACTTGAAAAAAACACCTGAAAAGATGAATATATAAAGATCTATCAAGGCCAAATGATGAAGTCAAAATGACAGTAAATATGATATTATTCTTAAAATGAAAAGATCATTGTGGTGTTGTATGTTTACATGCGGCTGCCTGAATGTATCTTTAATTTATGTGTCCTGGAAAGAAAAACAGGCCTTAGGCTAGAGGCGATGAAACATTAAACCTGTTGCACTCTCTGCACTGTAACAAGGGAACCTAAACTGAATATACTGTACATTAACATACCTAACACCTCTGACAGGCTGTGGTACAGTACATATACAGTGCCAAATAAAACATGTTTTGCATTTTAAACTTGGCAAGTGATACCTGACTTTTGAATGACATTTTATGGATTCAATATTTCACTTTAGGAGAATTACTTTTCACACATGATATCCATAACTGACTTTCTTACTCATGCTAGTAGATCATACACACCAACAGACTGACAAATCACCATGTGCAATAATTTAATTCACTATCTGTGCAATATCACTTATCTGCTGCTATTTTCCTGTTTTTGTGATATTAAATGCCTTATTGTACAAACTATATTATAATATTATTTATCTATTTTAAGTACTTGATATTGTCTTTTCACAGTTTTTCTTTCTTTGTACTGCCCACTTTGCTGCTGTAACATTGCAAATTTCAGTACAGTCATACTGGAGATAGAAGAAACCGTTGGGATTCTCGACCAGCCGTTGAGAATAAATTACAGAGGGGAGTATAACAGACCAGAGATGAGTACATTAGACTAGATTAGAGCAGGTATCATACCTCTGTCCTCCAGCGGATTGTTGGCAAGATTAATGTTGGTGAGTCCTGAGCTGGGGTTGTGGGCCAGGGCAGCAGCTAGCTTCTGGGCAAAATCACTGTTGAGTGACAAAGAGCGTATCCATAATGTGTGTATGACCAATGTGCTGTACATGTGCAACTTATCAAAGTGCTTTGGCAACATAACTATCTAAACCCAGCCATACCCAGAAGCAAGGCCGAATAGAGGTACATTAGCACTGAATTTCTTTGTGTAATTTGTAAAAAAATAGCTATAAAATGTGTTTTGCAAGACTAAAATCTTTTTAACAGCTAAATAAACAGAAACAGCATCTAACAATCCAGCATGTCAGCACTGAGATGAACAACAAAGCCGGACCAGAAGTGTAATATAGAACCATTCCTCTCATAGAACATAGTCCTCTGCAGAGCTGCTGCAGTTGTATAAGTCTATATATGTACAGAACATATTTAACATTGCAACTTCATATTGTCTTAAAAGTCTGAATTTTGTTATCCTGACAATATCTGTAAATGTGCAACATTTACTTCTGTTACAAAGACAAAGATGAAATTAAATCAAATGTCAGACAGTACAGTTTGACATTTTATTTCAAAATCTTGCACTTTAGAATTGCATCGTCAGAAAGTTAGGAGACTTTGATTGATAGATTGATGCAACTTTTAGTCACTAGAATGGATTCATCTCCAAAAAGCCTGAATCCTACATTTCCCATGATGCAGGGTACCGTCTGCAATTGAGCTCAAGTTGAAATATATACTAGTACTAGTGCTAGTACTTATATATAAGTACATATACTTTTCTCGTGCTTGATGGAGCTCTGCTGCAGGTTTCACATGCTGAGTGGTGCTCCTCGTTACAAGTTAGTTGATCTCGACATGTAAAATTGTTGGAAGTGCGATTTTAATAGCTTGCATGACCTTACGTTTTGAGTCCTGCGTTGTCCAGAACCAACTCTTCCAGTCGACTGGATCGAGATACCACCCTGAGGATCTGCTCACACACATCTGCAGACTGGAGACACACACACACACACAAAACAGATGCAAGTTAAGTTACAAGTTAAGATCAAGATTTGTGGGTAGTAATAATGAATGAAAATAAGGAAAAATAGACATGCACACATAGGGAAAAGAAAATTTACCATTTTTGCGTTCTCTATAAAACAGCAGATGTATGAGTGATATGAAAGGTGAGAAAGAGACACAGTCTTACATATTATGCATCTCACATTCACAGCTGAGCAGCGGCAGTCTTATCTCACTGATCCATTTAGTGCTTTTCTTCATCACTTTTGATTAAACGTATAAAAAAGATACTAATCAACTGAATCATCTCTGAGGCTTACGTTCCTATTTTATCGGGAACAGTAAACCTTGAACAGAAACTTTCAAGGTCATGTGACTAACACAGAAATTTACTTTTGGGACACATGATGTTCCCGCAAGTGTTCCTGTGCAAAATGTGGTGAAACCACTATGGGAAGCTGTTCATTGATGCTAATTAAAGCTGTACTGTGGCATGTAAAAAAAAAAAAAAAAAAAAAAAAAAAAAAGCAGCAGTAAATTCCATCTCTTTCACTTAAAGAGCATTTATGCGTGACAAGGAGAGACTGGGGAGAGCAGAGTCTGGACACTTAAGAGGGAGAAACTTGTCTTGCTTCTGTGGTCTCAACACCACAGGAGAGGAGGTGAGTTGAGGAAGCAAAAGCACTCATATTTAGATAAAAATTAAAAATTCAACAGTTCCATGTCAGTGCCCTGCCCAGATATTCGCTGACCCAGTTCAATGTGTGCTGTGTCATACCCAGACACATACACACCCACACATTCCGCTTTTGCTACAGTGTTACAGTAAATCTCTAATTATCTGCACAGACTCTCAACACAAACATTTTCCATCGTAACAACTGAACTTTAATGGATCATTGTGTTGTTGTTATTCTTTGTCATTGACATTCCTGCTATGAGGGACTGTTTCTTTCAGCCAGCTGCCTCTGTGAGGCCAAAACACTGGCGACTTTGTCCCAGACTGTTATCTACAGCGACGGGGAGAGAAAGAGGGGAGGAAAGGAGAGAGGGATAATGGAGAGAGAAAGAGACAGCGAGAGGGAGAGACAGAAGAAAGGGACTGTTGTTCACATGTTTACTCTGGGAAACTGTGAGTATTACAGAAGAGGAATAAGAATGATGGTGGGCAGTGGGGGATGACATAATACAGAAAAAGGAGATTTGAGGGTAGTGAGGGATGAAATAGAGAAAAAGAAGAGAGAGAGCGGTTGGTTGCAGCCTTACAGAGAGGCAGAGAGGCGCACAAAGAGGTCTGTATTTTCCACAAGACTCACAACAAAACTGCTGGGTGACACTGGCAGCGTGTCTATTGCACCATTTACCACTCATTAAATAACAGTCTTGTCATGCTGTGCTGCTCTGACCCAAGGTCCTGCTGAAATATCACACGCTTTTACACACACACACACACACACACACACACACACACACACACACACACACACACACACACACACACACACACACAGTGTGATCATGAGGTGATCAGAAGGCAAGTCCTCTTATCTCTGTTGTCTTTTCCTCTTCTTCTCCTCTTTTCTCATTAATGGCTCAGCATCTTGATTATACACCACGACACAAACAGCCTGACTGAACTGAGGACGAGCAGCATAATCCCTCGCTGTGATAGCCGGCTGTGTGTGTGTTATGTATGTGTGTGTGTGTGTGTGTGTGTGTGTGTGTGTGTGTGTGTGTGTGTTATATTATCCAGTCCACTGCATTGAGATATTCCTTATCTGTTTGTAGAGATAGTTGGATTGTAATTTAAGCCTGAGGCTTGTGAATTTAATGTTCCACGTCTCCCTTTCATTCACTTTTTCTTTTCTTCGTTTTTTATGCTCCACAGACATATCTTTTTAGATATTCCTAATGCGACTGTATGGTTCACCAGCACGGATACAATAGTTCAGGCTGATGGGCAGTGTTGCCCTTGAGTTGAACTTTTGCATGTCAATAGATTTGGCAGGGACATCAACTGACTAACTACTGGTTGTGGAAAGTAAAAACTTGTTTCCCAAGCGTGTCTGTCTCCCACTCTGCCTTCATTCGTCAGATCTAAATTCTCTTGCCAAAAACCTTCTGACTAATTTCCCGACTCATCTGACACCTCTCCCTCTCACTGACCTCTACACTGACCTTCATATTTTTGTCTCACTGCTCCGTTTGCTGTCAACACTTTCTCTCTTTCCCTCTGTGTTCCACTTCTTCTTTCTAACTTGTTATTGTTCCCATTGGCACAGGATCAAAAAAAATTCAAAATCATGCTCCAGAGCACATCCCTGAGGCCTTTGTTTCTCCAGTTTCTCTGTTATCACCTGCAAACATGCACACTTGGGGAAAAAGGAAAAAAAGGGAAGTATATTTTCCTTAAAAACACCCAGAGGAGACTTTGTCGCACTTTACAGATCTGGCTCAAACACAAGTCAGACGCTGTTCAAACAGTGGCATCTGTGGCTAACATCACCAAAATACACTCTATAAAACATCTGAAAAAGCATCCGCTCAAACCTTACTAACACACAACCCTATGCATCCATTATAATACACACTACCCTGCGATAGAAAAGACACATGTTAGACACAGGCTGCACATGTGCCTGCGCAAGGGTTTGTCACTAGATATGTGCACAGCATGGGGAGGGGCAGGATTTTAAAATTCAATACAAAAGGAATTGTCTGTGACGGAGGCATGAGATAATTGTTTGGACTGAGGAAGCTGCGTGTGGTAATTGGTGAGACTGAGCGAAGCGTCAAGACGAGAGATTTAGTGATGGAGTGCTGCAGGGGGGGCAACAGCCTTAGACATTGAGCCCCTTTGTCTCGTTAGGATTAAGAGTCTTATCACACAAGAACATTGGACTGATCCTCAGTCAACAGACAGGAGGGAAGGTGGAAGAAACAAAGGAGAGATATTCTGGACAGTCAGAAACATACAGCTACACACACTGTTAGGCAAAGGTAGAGTAGAGGGAGAGATGGAAAAGTTAACAGACAGAGAAGGACAGAGGCGATAGATACTATAAATATATAATATGGGAAGAGACAAAAACAGAAATAAAATGCATAAACAAGTAAAACATGTCAGAACAGCTAAAACAATTAGGTGCTTAATCAGTTAGTCAATAAACAGAACACTGTCCTGAAACGATGTTGGCGATTATTTGTTTCAGTAATCTTTAAGAAAAAATGCCAAAAATTACATTCCAGCTCCTAAAATGTGAATATTTGCTGATTTAATGTCTTTTATGACATGAAACTGAATATATTTGGGTTTATGAGCAGATTAATGAATAATAATAAAAACTTTAGCTGCAGCCCTACATGTCAGATAAATAATGTCGGCTGCCTTTTGGACAACAACGCAGAAACCACTGCAGTGAGGAGTAGAGCGGTAAGGAAGTGAGAAGCAGGACCTTTACAAAGGTGACAGGAACAGAGTAGAATCTGACAGGCAGGGACACTCACACACACACACACACACACACACACACACACACACAGAGACACACAGAGACACACAGGGACACACAGGGACACACAGCAAGATTAAATATGGATTATTTTGTGGCAGCATTAACTAACTAACATTAACCGTTTATCCAGCATCATGATTAAACATGTATAGTAATATAAGGTTAACATAAGTACTGTGAAAGAACTACTGGAATGGGAAGAGGTAATAAAACCTATTCATTGCCTTTGGTGTCAAGGGACACACTACACCCTATTATTTATATGATTGCAGAGAAGTCTGTGTGTTTAGTTTAAAAGGAAGGAGTTCGTGAGACAGTGGGTAGAACAGACAAGCGTGGAATGAGGTTGGAAGACAGTGAGACATACGGGAAGAGGATGGCGAGAACGGGGACTGACCAGTTTGTAGTCCTTGGTGGAGAGCTTGGTGAACCACTGGTTAAACTCAAGGACTGCTATTATGGCCACCAGATCCCTGAGGAGGAGACAAAAGGTCATAGCTGGAAAAAAATATTCTTCTTCATCAGTATCACCTTCGACTATGTGGTGACTTCAGCATTTTTACGTTACAACATAAATCATGTCACACGTACAATACCTCTTGTTTCTTTTGTATGGTGCCATGTGGCCTTTATCTGTTTTTTCTCTTCATCTTTTCTCTTTATCTTATGGTTTCATTTTGACTCACCTGTTCTCCAGATGGCTGAAGTCCTGCAGGTTGAGTTCTCTGGTGTCTTGTGTCAAATAGATGGTGTCTACATCCTGGAAAGGAAACAATTAATCGCAGCTGATATTAACAAACGTGTGCTATTAAAAAAAGCATCTGCTCGCTCTTGATGAGTCATATACAAACAAGAAATTGCACAGAGCAGATGAAATATATACAGCAGAGAAGAAGTCATTTCATTTTGGATGAGCAGAAGCAGGAGCTTGGAGAAGATCTTCAGAAATATAGAGATATATATTCATGAACTGTTGTGGCTGTCGTTTTTATCAAAGGGCTTTATGCAGTTTTATGTCATCCAGCCAAAAGCATTGAAGCATAGCTGAACCGGGATCTGTCAATCCTGTACAACTGCATAAAAGAATGTAAATGATACTCACCCACTGCACCTCTTCTCTGTAAGGTAACCCCAACCAGTCACAAACACATCTGTACATCTGAGAAAACCCACCTGCACAAGAGAGACGGAAAACCCAACAAAAAAAATTTGGGCAAAGATTCTACAAAAATGCAAATAACTTAAAACTAAAATCAATGTATAAACAAACTATGATTGCTTTAATTAACTATGTAAAACTACAATACCACTGATGTTAAACACTCTATAACTGACTATGTGCACACATCACACATACATTAGAGCAAATGTTTTGTAGAAAGTAAACACAGTCACAGATTTCATACCACAGGGTCCAGGTTCAGCAGGCTTGTTGCTCTCCCACAGAGTCTGCAGAGAGGTCAGCCTGTCTGGAGGCTCCATGCAGAGCTTCTTCATCACTTTGCTGAGAAGAGAAGACGAATGAAAACATAATTCAGTCATCCCATTTCTATATTGTAGCTGGTGAAATTTTCAAAAACGTATCCTCCACTCCCGTTAAAAGATTTTCAATCAAGCAGCTCCAGGCTACTTTCTCGCTGTCTTACTTGTCAATGGACATTTACCAAGCAAGCAACCAGGGAGTCGCTGCACTGCAGAGTGCTCCAATAATGGTAAATGAAGCTAACTGAATTACACAACTTGATGTTTAATGGAAAATAAAAAAAAAAAAGAGCATTAGCAACATAGAATTGATTGGAGCTCAGAAGAACAAATGACTGCCTCTCAATCAACTCAAAGACTTTGTCCTGTTCACAAGACGAGGTTATAAAAGTTTATGGTTTTACATCTGTATTCATTTCTGCATTTATATTCATGCTTCCTGTTCTCACCAAAATATATCAAATGGGATTCACATCTGCATTACAATGCCTGTAAGTATCGGGTTTTTTGGATATTAAATACAATATTCTGTAGCTCTTATCCTCAACCAAGTGAAACATGTAGAGATCAGGTTCACAAATGACATGCAAAATCAACAGAACAGTAAAATGAAATGAATTACTGGTTCAAATCTCTACACGTCTTGACAGGCACATTAGCATCATAATAACTCCACAAAGAAAGGCATAAATTCTTGTACACACGTACAGAAGCTAAACTCACCTAGGCGGTAGACCAGGACATATCCTCAGCAGGCAGTTTCCTATGTGAGCGACGACCTCATTAACCTCATCTGAAGAGAGCAGCTTCAGAGAGAAGGAGCCACGCTCGTACTCTATCAGCAGCTAAAAGAACACAACATTGATCAGTGATTCACACTGGCATGCATGGTTGTACCTTCACCTGCTTCAATCACAGTTATACTTAATTTAGTTTGTAAAATGTCATCTTTCTTTCCTTTACACTTTTCCATCCACTACGCCTGTCTACTTTCAAAAAAATAAAATCTACTGGAAAAGGATAGTTCTTCCTTTCCGTTTCATATTCAACTTTTCTCCCCAGGTACTTCTATGTATCTAGCCACTGAATTTACCCAGAGATAATATGAATAACACCCTCTATCCACTCAACTACATCTTCATCCCACATCTTTGCATGAAGTAAAAATGAAGATTTAATGACATTTACCAAGACTAGCTATATTATGCAAATGCTGATGTAAGGTGATATATGCCTCCTCTTTAGGCCAAAATTAACATAATCCTAGATGGTACAGGAGGCCATCAGTCAAGATATTAAGAGGACTGAAATCTCTTGAGATGAGTGGGAGAGAGGTTGCGCTGCAGGAACAGTGTGGTTCGTGACAGATTATCATATTTTGTAGGTAGATCCTGTAGACTGACAGCTAGCCAGCTCTGGTCAAAAAGCCAAATTGAGGCTCGCTCCAGATGGGAAACACCCAACTCAGAGAGATTTTGGTGTCACATATGTTAATGAGTTTTTTTTTCAGGATTATACAAGGCTTTGTGATGTGTTTTCAGCCATCTTCTTAGTTTTGTGTCTCCTTCACTCACTAAAGCCTCTGCTGTGATGACAACCACTGACCTTAAACTTGAAGGTATCAGCAAACACCCACTCTGCTGAAGTGTCCCTAAACAAGACACTGAATCCTGAGCACCTGTCCTGTAGCTGACCATGACCTTTCACTGGAGACAAGTTAATGCACAAAAGTAGTAGTGTTGATCCCTGTACCACTGATAGATCTGCTACTTTACAGTAGGGATTCGAGGTGAAAATAATACATTGCATTGACCTGGTAACCTTATAGAGAATTCCTCTGATTGGATTTGTTAGAAAAATGTAGCTTTCAAGAACCAAACTGAAATGCACTCTTATCACATTATAACCCTTTACTCTATGCTGCTATAGTTGTTAGTGTTTTAGCATCAAGTTTTGTCTGTTTTAAAACTACCATGACAACATAACAATCCTCCTGAATGCATAAAAACAGCATAATTACAAAAATGCACTTACCTGCTTACTTGTGGAGAGTTAGGTGAGAAGATTGATACCACTCATATCTATGCGCTGAGTATGGATCTTGAGCTAGCTGACGCCTAGCTTACCGAAAAGACTGGCAAGGCTAGGCTAGCTGCTAGGAAGCAGCTAGCCTAGCCCTGTCCAGACTATGAATATGCCATTGTATCTCATTTGTTTAGTCTACACACTAACAGAAATGTAAAGACGACGTGATGTTAGGCAGAGTTACGTGGTGTAGAGGGGCAGGCGGGACGGGGGTTTGGAGGTGGCAAGGCTAGCCGCTTCCCCCTGCTTCCAGTCTTTATGCTACGCTAAGCTAATTGCGTCCCGGCTCCAGCTCCATACTTAACGCAGAGACATGAGAGTGGTATCGATCTTTTCATCTAACACTTGGCAAGGACACAAATAAGCTAATTTCCCAAAATGTTTAGCTATTGCTTTAATATTTAGTCGAACGTGCTTTTGGACTACGGTTCTGTACCTGAGTAGGCTTGTTACAAGCGATCCCCTGGATCTCCAGATAATTAAAGGAGTGTTCCACCTAAAAAAGAGCATAGAAATCACCATTAAAATACTTATAATACCACTATTAAATCAATGGGTGATATAGTTAATGGAGGCACATTACAAGAAAAATTGTGCATGACTGTCTACTAAACATGACATTAAATTAACCTAATTATCAGAGAAAGGAAAGCTGCTTATATTTTTAGTGCAAACATGGGTGTAAGTATTTGAATGAATGAATGTGTAAGTGTGGTGTTAGTGTGCTTGTGTGAGATCTTGCAGTGGCCAATAACAGTCTAGTACAGTGACTTTCTGACTGAGGAATGTTGTGTAAAAATACAGTGTGTCGATCCATAATTAACAGGTAGGGATGCAGTAATTCCTTGTTTCTCTCTGGGCTCCTGTGCAGACTGCTTCACTGATTCACACATTCACATGTTTTTTCAAAGCACCATTAGACACATTTGTAGGTTCAAATGAAAACCAAGATCGGGAATTGAGATACTTCATTGTTTTAACTAAATCAGCTCCTCTGTCCCACTTAGCTAGCAGTATTTAATGTCCACATGCTGAATACATTTGAAATGTATAATACCTTAGTATGCAGTTTGCTTGCATTTGTTCTGAATAATTTACAGTAACGAAAAGAACACTGAAGAACTAATACGCATTTTTTTCCTTTTCACTGTTTTCAATTCACTCCGTGAATTATTTGAATTGAGACAAAAACTGGAAAATTAAAAAAGGACTTATCATCATGATTTTTCTATTCACATGCAAAAGACACCCTTTTTAAAACAATTCAGGAAAAATGTATCCTGTTTCAAGAGCGTATTTCAGGACAAACAAAGAAAAGCAGCAGCCTGCCTTTCCATACCTAAAAAGGAGGAGAAGATTCTCTTATGTGAGACTGGGGGGGGGCTTGAATACAAATTCCTGATACTATATACAGAGCAGATGATTTCCCTGCACTGTCTCTGCATCTCTCTTTTTCTTTTTCTCTCACAACCAAACACACACATACAGTCCAGCACCTGAGGGCAGGCCAGGAAGAGAGGGCAGACTATTCCAGGTGGGTACTGTGTTCCTGAGGCTTGGCTCAGAGATGAGAGGTGGGAGAGGATAAGTAGACTGTCTGTCTACTGTCTGACTGGAGCGTGCAGTGTGTGTGTGTGCACGTGTGTGTGCGTGCATGTGCATATGTGCATGTACTGTATTTCAGTGTTGCTTGTGGTTATTCACTCATGATCAAATAATTTGCAGAAACAGAAATAACTTAAAACTACAGATGGAGCAGGTAAAATAGCTGCTAAAAAAGTCTATTAGGTAGACTAATCTGGCAACATTTTCATAAATTTTATAATACGTTAGAGTCATTTATAAATGCAGTTGCTTACCAATTATTTTAAAGTTCTGGGTCAATTTAGGAGTCTTTTCACTGTCTAATGTAGATTTCGAAAACTGAACTGCTGAACAATTTGTCATATTGAGAGTATAGATGGTTATTAATGTTAATATTAACAGTTTATTACTTATGTCTTTTTACACAACCTTCCATGTATGACGATAAAGTCTGACACATGACACGTAAGTAACTGAAATTATTTATGTTAATCCAGCGAACCCTCAATGTGTAAACACCTCAGTCTGACAGGTATGGGTCTAGAACATGACGTGACATTAAATTCTGGCATTAAAAATAAAAATTGACATTGGAAACAACAGCGCTGAAAAACACTGAAATAAATATTGGCAAGAAAATGGTTCCACTGAAAAATAAAACAGAAAAACATAAGCATCGAAAAAACTACAATTATCTTATTTAACTTTTTTTATTTTTTTTTTGTATTATGGTGTGTTTCAGTGTGAATCTTCAGATTTTTTCTTCATGTCTGTCTTCTGTTTCTCTCTGCCGCTGTTTTTTCACAGACGTTATGCTGTTTTGACAGAGGTCAAGTGCAAACATTAGCTAATACTAGTCAGTTAGCAAACCTGTGGTTCAAAACCTGGCCATCTCCTACTGCACTGTTTGTTTTGGGGTTTTAGCCAAGTCTGCTGCTCATTTTGCACTGAATTCTACTGTGCTGCGGTTTGAGGCTGCTGAGTATTTTGTTTTAGCACGTTGATGAGACCTTGTGCAGCAGCAATAGCACTGGCCTCAATCTCCTGCTGAACAAAAGACAGGAGAGGGCGGGAGACTCAGCGACCACTAACCACAGGTTAGCTAACTGAGTTGTATTAGCTAACGTTAGCTTTTGTTGCAATAGACGTCTGCCAAAAGAGCATAACGACTGTTAAAATTTAACTTTAACTCAGTCTGGTTCCCTGTCAAAAAAACAGCAACAGAGATAAGCAGACTTACCTGCAATTTGGGAGCCTGTCACTGAAGAAGGATAAACATGGAGAAGAAATCTGATTGACTAACTGATTGACTGAAGACAACACATCATAATACAAAAAACATCAAAATTAAATAAGATAATAAGATTGTAATTGTAGTTTGTTTTGTTTTTTTATGCCAGTGTTTTATTTTTCAGTGGAACCTTTCCAGTGGCAATACAACTTTTTCCATTACAAGTGTTTCAATGCCATTATCTATTTTTTCAGTCCAGGTTTTGTTTTTAACGCCAAATTTGAATTTCAATGTCAAAATGTTACTGTCTCCGTTCTAGCCCCATAGACAGGCTAGTACAGTAGTACAGTACAAGCATTGTACATTTTATAGAGTGGTGCAAGTGGAACAGCAGTCTATAGTATATATTTTGTTGATTTATGTATTGTATGTTACAGTTTGCAGTGTCCAAACCTAACTTGAAAGGGTCAATCAGTTCAATTCATACAGCCAGTAACTGCCATGATAGCATACATACTGAACTGAGCACCAGGCATTGATGAGTGAGCGCTGCCTGCTGATAAATCTGAGCTCTAGCCAATGGCAGGCTTCATGCTGAGAGGTGTGGGGAGGAACCAAGGAGGAGCCTGAGTAATTGCATCGTTCACTCATTCGTTCACTGTCCATCTGTCACTTTAACTTTATCCACTCTTTTTTATTTTTACTATTTTCATGAAAAAGTCAATGTGTAGTTTTAGTCATTAGGATTGATTATAACTGAACAATTAGGATGCTGCTATAGTCAGTTATAACAGTAATCTGTAGTTTTTGGGATTATTGGGATTTATAAACATATGTTTTATATAGTGAGGCATAGTTCATGAACAAATGTAACTTAAGGTTTCTATGAGATGTTTTGTTGTTCAAGTTGTGTCTTGGGTAGCTAAATTATGAAAGATCAGTCCAATCTTATGTTACATAAGCTCTCCCACTCTCCTACTTCTGATGTTAAACTGAGACAAAAGAGGGATAAAGAGTGTAGAGGAATATAAAATGTACAGCAACAATAGGCTGTAGACAAGGAAAGGAGGGACATATGAATGAAAATGTATGTGTGTGTGAGAGAGAGAGAGCATGTGTGATGTTTGGGAGGAGACACTGACAGACTGTAAGGCCCTGCAGCTTCTAAAGAGGAGCCAAACCATCAATTGGAGACGCACAGACACACACACACACACAGAAAACCCACTGAGAGGTGCATGAGAGAGCTGGAGGGGGGATTTCAACTATTACTGAGAGAAGAGGAATACACAGTAAGTGTTTAACTGAGGTTTACTGCGACACAACACTTCAACATTAAGGCCTTGGGCTCTGCTCGGAAAAACAATACTAACAAAATCCCCACCAACAGATTGCTCTCTTGGGTGTTTAGATGCATCTCTAGGGTTCCACTTTTACATACATACAATAAAACAAATGCATTGTCTCCAATGCATTCAGACGGCCAGAAGCATACACAGCCGAAATTGTCAACAAAAACAGATTTTTACAGATGAATAGAGTCAATAGTTCATGTGTTGGAACAGTGAGCAAAGTCTAATCTTCATTTGCAGTTGACTGGTGTCCACTCTGATATAGATTTCACATCAAAAAATCAATACGAGGAGAAATACTGTAACAGTCAGCTTCTTATGTTAGCAGGCTTCATCTTTTAAGGATGTCATGATGCAGCAAGAACCCACCCAGCACTTGCACTATTGGTAGCAATGTGGAAATATGAACACATAAAGATCCTTAAGTGATACAGAGTTTGGCTGATTGGAAACCTTTTTGCTAGTTCCAAAATGAGGAGCCAATTAAACAGCAATTTGATTAACCAGAAATTAATTGATAACTGTAACAATGATTCATCCCTTAAAATATTTATCAAGGAAAAATTGGAATACCTTTCCAACTTCTCAAATTTGCTGCTTTTGCTATGCAACAAAAAACAATTAAAATCAGGCATTTTCCCTATTTATTTACTGATAAGTGATTAAGTGATAACAATAATTATATTCAGTTGCAGAGAGTTCCTGGAGGGAACACCTTGCACTGGTTACTTCTGAGATAAAAACCAACAGATTCAACTGGATTTAAGATGTTGTATAGGTTATCCCTGCTAACCTTTGGCACAGTGGTGAGTGGAAGAGGATAAAGGTAAAGAGACAGAGCGAGTGAATGGGGTGAAGAGAGAAGGAAGTAATCTGGATTGTTGAAAAAGAAGGTAAAACAGTGAGAAACCTCAATGAACAGCTTTAAGGAAACGAGGAGAGGAGAGCAAAGGTCATCTGTGGCTATAATCTGGCTAAGAGCAGAGAGTGATAGAGGTCTGCTGCAATAGAAAGACCTGACTGCCAATACTCTGAGAAGTTGCATCAAGTAACTTACAGTAGCTTCTCTTGATTAAAACAAGAGTAACATCCAAAGTACAGAAGAGAAAATACAATAGACAAGTATAAAAAATTAGACCAAGAAAAGGATAGCGTGGAAAAACAGAGACAGAGACAGGGTGAGATATACAGTAGACAGTAGGGCAGAGAGGTTAGTTCTTCATGAAGCCAGTGTCTAATCCCTCCAGGTCAGAGGAAAGCACACAAATAGAAAACAGCAGAGCAAGGTAAATAAACGGCTCATAACACTGGAAACATATGACGTCATGTAAAAAACAGGGTCAGCTTGAATGTTCTTTATGGCCTCTTTGACCCCCCCCCCCCAGCAAACCTATAAATCAGTTTTCAAGCAACCAATAAATCACCTAAACTGTCCCTGGAGGCATCCTGTTGACTGGAAAGCATCTATTTGAATGGCTGCCATTAAGTATTTCCTGGGCCTGGTACAAGATATGTTGTTATGTGATCTCATGAGTTGGGGAAAATACTGTTAAGTTCTACTCTTTCATTGCGGGCGGGATCGTCAGTCCAGCTAATGTAGGTATTGTTGTTGTATATTCCATATACAATCACAGTACTGTTTGGTTTTGTAACTTTATGTTTTGGTGAGTGTGTTTCTACCATTTTACATAAATATTGCAGAGATCCTGATCAAATATGAAAGTCGTACAGAGCATCATTTTCATATTTACAGCAACATATGTTGTTTGCACACTGGTTGTAAAAACAGCAAAGTTGACATGACAATTTCATCTCACAGTTCATTTAGCAGCTGTTCTGGAGCTTTTGATCATATCAGATGATCATCACCAGATGGAGTTTGCTCATCACGGAATTGCAGATGTTCAGTTTTTGCATTTTAAAAGACTTCTCACCATCTCTGTGGAATTAAAAGTTTCTGTTTAAAAGATCTGTTGATGAAAATCATGTTTTATGACTGAAAGGCCCCAGAACAACTACTAAATGGACCATGAGGTGATATGGTTTTGCCAACTGCTATTTCCAAGGTCAAGAATGAACTTTGAAACTCTTAAAGCAAAGTGATTTGTACACTAACCGCTGACCCCTGCACATATGGAAATGTCTACAAACAGGTATTTCTTTATGTACATTCATTATGAACATCCCAGCAAAGGATGTTATTTACGTTTGCTGTGGGCCCAATTTCAAAAGCTAGCAGGCCAGTCCCAGCTAATGGGGTTATAATACAGGCACCTGACTCTGATGTGAAGTTTAATAATGGCAGTAGTGATAGTGATAGTTGTTTGACCGGTGCTGCTACAAGTCTGAGTGAACATCTGCATCGTGTTACTGCACCGCTGGTTTTTATGTGGTAGTGGTGACAACGATGCTGGTAAAGCTGATGACAGATGTTTCATTGCTGGTGATGGGGCTAACAACTGCCATCTGTACTGCATATGGCAAAGTGATTCAATGTTTAAAAAAAAAAAACAAAAAAAAAACTGCACTATAACCTGCCACACAGAGCTACTACTTTAGCTTTAATCTACTCTTTTGTATGGCCCATGCAACACACACAAACACATGTACATATACACACAAAATCACAGTTATAGCAAAAGGGGTGAGTTGGGGAAATGACTAAAAGAGGGCTGCAGGGGCATGCAAACAGTTGCTAATCAGTGAAACAATAACATCTAAACAAATACAAACACATAAATTTGCTTTTTTAAGTTAATCTAATGGAGCTTTAAAGAATTAAGGTTAAAGAATGGACACGGAATTTAGAGGAAGATTAAACCATGAACCAATCACCAAAACTGGTTTTATAAAACCTTCAATGCAACTGTGATGTCAATCAAAGATTGTGTTGGGGCTGTAGGAGGAAGTTCCAAAACTATTCTAAGGTCACTTCTGAGGAGGAGAAAACATTTTACAACATTTGCTGACATAATACTCTTATTATATATTTTATTACAGTTTTTTTTAAATTTTTCATTTCTGGTCCCTAGAATGTGTGCTGACTGTGCAGCACAAAATACACATAAAACTGTGTTACTGCTCTTACCTTGGTGGGAATACGTGCCGTCAAGAGGTAAGCTCGGTGAGACGCGAGAGCCTGAGACAGAGAGAACAGAGAGAATAATGAGTATGTAGCTGTAAATATACACTTTGAATGACAAGAACAAGGAAATGACAAAGAACACAGGGAGCTCTCCTGTTGACTCATCAAGATGAAAAGGCTTGTGACCCTGAAACATCTCTGTCTGAGGACTGTCAGTGAGGAAAAATATTGCTCGAGTGCCTGGTCTTAACCAGCACAACACACTGAGGTGTACGGTATATTACATGCAGCCAAGATGCCTTTGTTCTTATAGGAATACACCCTGTCATAGTGAGACTATCATAGGTCAGTGTGGTTTCCTTGATTTCTTGCTTGTGTTGCTTCTTCCTGCTGAGCAAATGAGACACCAACTGCCACTGTTTATTAGAGCACATGGTGAGGACTGAGTTTGCTTCTGTTGCTTAGCCATGGGAAAAAAAAGTCCAGGCTTGAGGAGGCAGAACTGGAATACATAAACTTGACATTCCTATCCAGACAAACAGCCTTGCTTTATTGTTGTTGCCATAGAGTGTGACATTGTTATAGCAATGATTTGCACAACTCATGCTATGAAGAATGTGTTACCCCAGACAAAGACGTAATTGCCCTGTGCTGCTTATACTGAACACTCGTTACACTGAGTCTCTTGTATTCTCTACATTACATCATTGTACATTCACATTACAATATCAAATTCCGTAGTAACAACATTATGCACCATAGAATAATCCATCAGAGGATCAAAGGTCAACACAAGGAAAAACTTAAGACTTATGAAACTAAACTAAGTTCAATACCTAATAAAAAGTTTTGTTTAAATGTCTGGTGCCATGACACTGGATTGAAGAAAAAAAAAAAGAAATCACAACACACCAGAGGCTGACCTTTAAAACCATTACAGGGACATTACCATCAACCTTTTTCAGAGAAACATCCTGGTTGGTCAGCAAAGGCACATACCAAGAAAGGCTGCAACTAACAGTTGTTTTCAATAGATTGATTAGATAATTTTTCATCTTTTAATAAAGTCTCTAAAACGCTGAGAAAAATATGTATCATGCCTCATTTCTAGAGGAAATTGTCGAACATGGCTGGATTTGTCCGACCAACAGAATCCACAGATATTCAGTTCACTATCATAGACAACTAAGAAAACCAAAAAGCATTCACATTTTAGAAACTAGAATAAGTGATTTTTTTTTTGGGGGGGGGGGGGTTCTTGGTTAGAAAATTGTTGCTGATTAATTTTCTGTAGAGGGAGATGCAATGAGCTTGCATGAGATAACAGCTCTACAACAGTCATAATCTTTGTGTTAAAAGGGCAAGTGTGTAAGATGCTTTAAAGCCCAAGAAAAAGGCGACTTAAACCTGCTCAGTTTTGAATGCTCCAAAAAAAAAAAAAAAAAAAAAAAAAAAAAAAAGATCAAGGTTAAAAGCCACAGAAAACAAATGCCAATGGATGAAACAGGGAATACAAGAATAAAGAGAAGTAAAAAAAAAAAAAAGAGCTTGGGTTAGAGTAGATGAAACATGTAGAGAAGTAGAAACCGACATCAAGGAGATGAAATGAGAGGGAGCAGAAAGATTGATCAAAGGTGAAAGAAAACTGGAGGATGAGGTTTTAAAGCAGAGGAGCAGAAGATAAAATAAGACTACAAAGGAGGGAAGGGGGAGCACAGCATACTAACAAGTCCCAAATAAACAATGACTGGCAAGAAGGGCAAGGAGAGAAAGAAAGTAGGAAAGGAGGTAGAGCACACGAGAGAAAACAAGATTAAGGAAAGTCTATGAACAATCACAATCTTTTTAAAAGACGTGAAAAAAGAAACAGAGGGATTAGAGACGGGGATAAAAAGGATGACAGTATCTCCCAGCCCTCTGTGGCTCAGCAGGGTCTGTGTGGTTTGATGTGATGGAGACAGACAGGCAGGCCTGTGTGACCAAAGATAACCTCTCCTAAAGAGCACCAGTCACCACTGCTTCACTCAACTCGCCCTCTCATTTTCAGTTTTTCTGTTGTCTAGAAGGTAGCTATAATACACACTATGTGATGGAATCTTTTAGCTTCATTTTTAAAGCTACATCTACATTAAATTATCTGAATGTTTATTATTAAAGGATCATTTTGGTTTACTTTAGCTTTAGTCTTATTTTCATGGGTTTGAGCTTTATTTCTATATTAGTTATGGAAACTTGAAAATGTGTCATTGCTAAAATAACATCAAGCTCGGCTGGAAACTTGGTTGGTCAGATGAACAGGTTGAAAACAAGCCAACAGTTATCAGGAAGATTATCTCACTCACTAAAAATGTTTGTAATAATCATTGTTCACTAAAATATCAGCAAACTTTGATGAGCAATTTAGGTCTGAGCCAAAAATACAGTAAATGGTGATGGATGTACACAATGGACAAGCTAAGATGGGGATAGGTGATATTACACCTTATAATGTATTTTGTGCTCTGGAGGGACTTTCCAAAGCTAAAGTAAAGGTCTAACCCTGATGACACCATCAGGGTTATTTTGGACCCATAATAAGAACTAAGAAGTCAGACGACCTCCGCTGCACAGATTTTGACCACTATTTTTAAACTGTGTCTCTTGTGACTTCCCCAGAAATACTCATCTACTCCGATCAGAGATCTCAGCAATCCCTTTTGTGCAAGCGATGTTATCATAACCAATACGCACTATGGCCAAGACTTTGAAAATAAGTTCCAGGTTGTAATAAACTGGAATTATCCTTAAGTCACATTTTAAAGTACATAGAGCAACAGCAGAAGAGTGGCCAGTAGGTAAAATAATGGAGTTCTGAAAGTCTGTATGATCTCAGAAGTGAAAAAGTATAACATGCAATTTGTGGACATACGAGTTTGGCTGCAGAACTTCAAAGTTGTGTAACAGAAAAAAGTCCTTTGGGCTGTGTAACACAACAAGCCTTCCTCCTTTTTATTACCCACTGATGAAGCCCTGGTTGTGTGTGTCTGGTGGCAGCGAGTAATAATTTTAGTTCTATAGTATAAGTAAAAAACACCAAGATTTAAAGAAGGAACAATACACATCAGTGGTTTTTCAGGAGCTGAAAAGGAGCTGCCATCTCACCCTGCAATGACCAAGAACCTGCTGACTGTGAGTGAAGGGGAGGCACCAACTGTCCACTGAGGAGTCTTCTTTTCTGTGCAGTCTTAGGGTAGTAAATCATTCAGTACTTTGATAATCAATTAAGGCTTTAAGCAATCAGTCAACAGTAGCCAGATATTTTAAAAATGGACACAAGGACACTTCTGTGACTGCTTCTTCCAACTTAGTTTAAAACATACTCTGATTCCTGTTGCCACAGCCTCTTGGATTTCCCTTTAGTTTTTCATTCCACCCATCCTCCTCCTGTCAATGCATGACTGCCTTCTGCACTTTCCCAGTGCAGTGCTCTCTCCATCTGCCCTTTTGAGTGGACAAAGCCATAACGCCCCTGTTTCATGACCCCCCTCATCCCTGTAACTGCCCTACTAGCTCTCTCTCTGTCCCTCTCTCTCTCTCTCTTTCTGCTCTCAGTCTTAAGTGGACTTAAAGCCTTGAGCCTTCCCATCAGCCAATGATTTCACAGCAACCACCATCCCGCCTTTAGCTCTACTCAGCCAACCAGATGGCAGCAGCATTGGAGCATGTCTACAAGACCAGAGAGAGCATCTGCTATTACTCTCTCTCTCTCTCACACTCACACACACACACACACACACACACACACACACCCACACACACACACACCAAAACTGGTGGCTCACATACAAGTTAACTGCCACAGGCAGTAAAGCACCATTTGTCTCCTTGGCCTGAGACACATGCCACACACACACGCGCACAGAGCTCCACTGGAGAATTTCTAAGCCAATTCCATTTATTTATGAAAATATGACACAGATTTCTTCGATACATTTTTTGTTATTTTATATGGATAAAATAATCATGTCTAAAAGCAATTTCATAGAATATACAACACACTATTCATAAATTATGTTTGACACACCCACACTAAAGACACAACATGAAAGATAGTCGACAAGGTCTCAAACTGCATTAAAGGGTCAGTAATAGACACACAGGCCCGTGGAGTGTATGTCCCTCTGAGTGCGTGTGTGTGTGTGTGTGTGTGTGTGTGTCTGTGTGCTGTGTAGTCCATTTACAGGACTACCGTTCCCAGATTATCTTTTTTCTGTCAAACCTGTAAACCCCATCCACTCCCCCCTCCCATGTACCCACCCCACATGTGCGAGTCACACACTGTGTTACTATGGTAACAGCTAGCCCATACTGCACACACACATTTGTGAATATACACACACAGACAGACACTGATAGACACTCACACATGAAAGTAGCACTCTGCAGTGCCAAGCCTTGCTTGAGAATGTCAATGAGTTTTCAGCCCCTTAAACAACGTTCACGCTGGCCTACAGTTATACTGAATCTCTGCAATACAGAGCAGTGTTTGATCCACAGTCATTCAAGCTGTGGCAGCACTCAGCCACAGGAAATCTACCCCCGCCAAAAATGCTTTATTCATCCATCATGTCTTGGTGTGCATTCACACTCTATTATATCCATTACACCATTTTTACTGTTCACTCCTTTGGTTCAGTTTGTTTGGGTGAGAACATTTTCTTTAAAAACTGTTGGCACCAAAGAACATAATAAAAAAATGCTAACTACAAATGCCTCATGTTTGACCCCCCTGAGGTAGGGCTGAATGATTATTTGCTTTTGCGATAGTATCGCGATATGATCAAATGCGATTTTCTAACCGCAAAGGCTGCGAATACACTTTGGTCGCGTGACATGCAAACGAGAGTAGAGCAGTCGGCTAAAAGAGGGAGCAAAAACTTGGCACGCTACACTTTGACCTGTTATATAATGGCCTCAGGCTCGACAGAACCTGGCACTGCGGAAACGTCAGTGTCAAAGAGGAGCAGTACGTCAGTTGTGTGGAACTATTTTGGCTTTAGAGGCTGCACAGCGTCAGGTATTGTGCAGAACCTGCCTTGCTACCGTTGCTACGTCACAGGGCTACACTACCAACCTGTATCAGCACAACAAAGCCAAAATTTTTTTAAAAATAATAATAAAAAGAAAAAATCAGCACAACAAAGCCATGTACGATAGTTGCATGGCTAAAATGCCTACCACCAGTGTGTCAAGTTATCCAAATACCAACCGACAAAGATTACTGACCTAAACGTTTGAAAGCATACCTCCATATGAGCATAATTCAAAACGGCATGGGGAAATTACTCAGGCATTAGCAGAGTTCAAAGGGAAAGATACGATGCCTCTCAGCCCGGTGACCAAGCCTGGGTTTACAGCTTTGATAAATAAACTGGATAAGCGGTACAGTATGCCCTCCCGCACATATTTTAGCAAGGTTGGCATACCGGAGCTATATAAAAAATACAAGCTGAGAGTCGCAGCGGAGCTGAAAACAGCAGAGTTTTTCGCTACTACAGCGGAGCCCTATCAGAGTCTTGCGGTGCATTTCATTAATGAAGACTTCGACCAGCTGGGACATCCATGAAGAGAACCATGTCTGCATAACTACGGACAATTTGACATGCTTACAAGGCTGTAAGTTAAACAAATCGGTCGATATACTTGTGATTTAAGTAGTGAGATAAAAATATGTCATTCATATCAATTCATGCATCATCTAATTTCATCATGACAAATATGCCTGGCCTACAGGAAAGAACTGATTATTTTTAATCTACCTAATATTGTGTCATAATATAGAATGATTTATTGCTTGTGTTTGTTGAATAATACAGGAGATAAGGAACTCTAAAAAAAATAAATAAATAACAGCATATTAAATCGCAATTAGATTATTTTCCCAAATCGTTCAGCCCTACCCTGAGGTACGCTTGATTCATCTTGCTGAAAATGTAACCAATGAAAAAATAAGTCCCTTGCAAAAAAGAATCTAGTTCTTTTTACATATGTGTAGTATTCTAGTTTGTTTTGTATCCTGTCCTTGAGGAAATTACATTATGGGAATTTAGATGGGAATTTAGATACCACTCTGAGGTTAAAGCTCCAAGAGACAGCAACCTTGTTCCCATGTTCTTATTCAGCAATGTAGAGCTTGTTAGTATATGTAGATATATTTAATTTTAAAATAACCCTGTATGTTTTTTTCCCCCACTTGTTCACAAAAGCATGTTTCACTTTCAGTGTTACAAGGGGCTGTTAGGATGAGATAGGATGAGAGCATAGATCATTTCTATAACAAGATAGTGGATAGTGGCTGCACATTAACACTGGATTCAGAGGGCTTCATGTGGAATCCTGCCCATCTTCAGCACTAACTCACTTTAGTAAAATCTCTCTGTCAACCCTGGAACGTAGCGCTTTGAAAATCATCCACCTGCTCTTCTCCTTCTACTGACAATTTCTCTCCAATTTTAAACTGGATCCTCCCTGGATGCTTCTGTTTTAAGTCATTTTAGATCCGTATCTAAGACATAACCAAGTAACCAAGTTCTAGACCAACAAAGTGTCTGTGCCGCTCTCAAACCAGTTCTCCTGACCAAGAGCCGTTTTTTTGGCAGTCGAAGCGTGAAGAACTGGTTTGAGATCAGGCAGCAGTTTCAAACCAGCCCCAGAACTGCCTTGGTGAAACAGGTTGAGTTTGTCACAGGGCTGTCTGGTGGTCATTCTCACAAGACTTGCATTTATAAGAATGACTATGACAGTTTCTTTATCTGTGATGCATTTACACAGAACCATGACAAAGTCAGTCTGTTACACTTGGACAGAATGCTAGCTTAGCTACGTTGTCATAGCCTAGCTTGTTAGCTTAGCAACGTTTTTATAGCCTAGCCTGTTAGCTAAGCTTGATCCCTTCTCCTCTGAATGGAAGTTTCCAATGCAGCTTCTGTTGCTGACACAAGTCAGTAAATTGATTAAAACGTGTCATTGTAGGAACAGTGGTTACTTAACCTCTGAAACCAGCTGCTATTCAACCATGTGCGTGCGCTTTCGCGTGTGCTCCAGCACGTAAACGAACAGCACTACATCTCTGAATGAGGAACAAAGAAATGACAGATGAGGTCCCAATGAAGTCAGCGGCAAGTCTAAAGACGGATGTGTGGCCGCATTTCAGATTTAAAATCTGTGTACAGAGTGAAGAGCTGGAAGAAAAGCAAAGCTATGAGCAAGATGAGAAGAAGATGCTGTGTACCTGTTCATACACACTGTAGCCGGTGCACTGGGGTAGCCTACGTTAACAACACACATTAGCCAAAATCTATTATTTCTTGAGATGCCTGTCTAAACTGTAGGTCATGTTGAATAGAAAAAAGCATTAATGTAACTGCTTTGGGGTCCATTCATAATGTAAGCATTAATGTTTTTAATAATGTACCAGGCTAAAGGAACAATTTACAGCAGTATTACTCAGAGAATCTCGTTTATATCCAAGAAAAATTGATGTTATAACTGAAATATCTTTGACTAATTCAATATCAAATTGAAATGGGACCTTGTGAATTGGAATCGAATCAATTCAGGAAATCAGTGGCAATACATAGCCCTAGTGTTTATGTTATTCCTATGTAAAAAGGGATGGTACTGAGACAGTGCACCTGCCTATTGCTGTTTATCAGCAGTGGCACTGAAACGATCACTAATTGATGCACAGGGGTGCAACACGGTGTCCTCAGAGCTGAATCTTTTGACACGACTGGCAACTTGTTTTCATTTTTTTGGTTCCATAGGAGAAATTGTACTGACTAAGTCGCCTCACTTTATGTTTTCGTTGATGTAAGACGTGTTCCAATCCAGGTGCCGCATCCTTCGGAGGCTGCATTTGAAGAGCAATTGCATCACAGCAGTGCAACTAGGCGGTCCGATTTCGAAGACTCCTTCAAATACGACCAAGCAGTGCAGAAACAAGAGTGATGCTTTGTGACGCAACGGGAAGGGCAGGCACAGCTTGTGACGCGAAGCGAAAATTCTATAGGCCAGACCGTCTTATTTTGGTTCGGCCTTCCTCCGTGTCCTCCGAAAGATGCAGTCCATGAAGCAAGACACAGCTATAGGCTTGTATGAAGCCATGGCCAAGAAATTATAAGTTTACCTTAGCATATATAATGGAAATTGGAAAACAGCTCGTTGGACAAAACCCACCTTCTAGCAGACATTAGAGTGGTATTGATCTTATGTAATTCTCCTCAAGAAAACAGAATAATAATTTCCCAAACGTATAACCCAACTTCAAACTATTTAGTTAAACTGTAATGGATTTGATGTAGTCTGAATATGCACATGTCTGATTGTTGGTTAATGATTAATCACTGAAATTCATTTTCACAGTTCACTCCCCCTTGGTTCAGTTTGGTAAACTCAGTATTATCTTTAAGACCCCTCTTGAAACTCACTTTTATCCTATGGTTTTTTCTTACCTGATGATATTTTCTGTAATTGTTTAAATTTTTTATCTTGGTTTGGTTTCATGTTTTTATCACTTTTATTCCTTGTTTTTACTTTAAAGCAATAAAGCAATTTGTAGCTGTTTTCTGAAATGTTACACCTTGCAACTGCATTCAGGTTGCAAATAATTTCAACACTTGTCCTTGTCATTGCAAACCTTTAGAATTAAATTAAAACTTAAACACAGTTTTGTCTTATTCCATAAATGAGTTTGGAAGCATTTTTCATACCCAAAACTCTCAAGATAATTAATACAATTAAAATAAATATATGAAAATAATACAAAATATGTTAATATTTTTTACTTTTGTTTTATTATTTATTATTCAGCACAGTTCACATCAAGCCCAGATCATTTACCACCCCATAACCAAGACTGAGAAACCCAACAGTTCCCACCATGAGCAAGCACTTGGCGACAGTGGAGAGGAGAAACTCCCTTTTGATGGGAAGAAACCTCCGACAGAACCAGACTCATGGAGGGCAGCCATCTGCCTTAACCAGTTGGGTTGAGAGAGAGAGAGAGAGAAATGATTGGGGTGGGGGTATACCAAGTTCTAGACCAGCAAAGGTGTCTGGCGCTCTCAAACCAGTTCTCCTGAACACGAGCTGATTTTTTTAGCAGTTGAAACTGAAAGAACTGGTTTGAGATCAGGCAGCAGTTAAATTAAAGTGACCCTGGAACTGCGTTGGTGAAATGGGTTAAGTTTGTCACAGGGCTGTCTCGTGGTCATTCTTATAAATGCAAGCCTGGGTCTAACTTTAACTCACAAGAATGACTTGGAATAAACTGGCTCTGTGCTGTCCTCATTTATTTAATAATTGCTGATTAGTTATTTCAGCATTTAAAGATGGAAGCCACTCACTTTTTCACTGCGGAAGAATTTGCAGATTCTTTGAAATACATTCTTCCGGGGGACTCCATCAGGGCCAGTCTTGACGTCATCAGCATCAGCGGGTCTAATGGCAGCTGCAGCTCCATTAGTTGGGACAACGTCGGATGGTGGTCTGTTATCAGGCGTGTTACTAGCAACTGGTGAACAATCGACGTTTGTATGGTCATTAATGAGGGTAGCAGTGGTGCCTGGCTCTTCTATTGGGGGAGTGGCTGTGTCTCTGACCCCATCATAAAGGTCAGTTGCTGCTGAGGGTCCAGGTGGCTTGCTTGGCTCAATGTCATCTTTGGTGGTGGGGCTTGTGGGAGATGGGTCTTCTTCATGGGGGTCACTGGTGACTGGCTGACTGGAGGTCTTGGTATCAGTGTCATTGCAAGTATTTGAATGACCGCAACAACATTTCGCTGGATCATACTCCAGGTCATCTTTTTCCACTGGTGGCTGAGTCAATATCCTCACTGTGACTAAGGTGTGGCTAGAATGATTCTCCATCGTCTGAGTCACCGGTGGCTGGTTCTTTACCGTCTTCATCAATAGAAGAGTCAATATCAGCAACATTTCCACTAGAGCTCTCAGTGTAACTCTCAATCTGTGAGTTCCAGTGGTGAGAATGAACAGTGTCTGAATCTGCAGCCCTGTAATCCTCAAGGCCTGCATCATAAACAGAGAAAATGTCAGCTGATGAATCTTCTCCAGTAGATGGCTCTGTCTGTAAGTCAGTCATGAGAGCAGCGTTTGAATCATGACAATAATAATTCATAAAGGCTGACTCTTCATAAACCCAGTCATCATATGATCCATCAAAATGTTGCTGGGGGGAAACAGTAATGAACTGAATGGCAGAGTCCGCATAGGTGCTGGTCTCCACTTTATCAACCAGGTGAACCATTGTTAAATAAGGGTATTTGTGGGCTCTCCTGGGAGTAACTCTGCATTCATTATCTGGATACAGACACCAATTCTGGAGGTCTAAAAATGCCATCCTGTCTTCATACTCAAGATCATTGAGTTTCGCTGGATATCTCTTTACTGCATCCTCTTAATTCCAAGCCCAGTCCAAAAACCTCTCAAAAACTACTGGCTCAACACCAGTTACTTCTTCGTAATCCTCTGGTGTCCTTAGTCTCCACTCTTCATCCAGATCCTAGGTGAAATACATCCAGCTGTATTTTCCAGCAAGTAGCTGGTGATCAACTGGTTGATCCAGCAGGTGCAACATAGCTTTCATCCAGTGATATGGACAGTTGCCAGGGAAGAGGTGTTGACCAAAATACATAAATGCCACGACGCAGCCTACTCCCCACATAACAACACATTCGGACAAGGGGAGGCCCAAGGTCACTTCAGGAGCCCTGTATGCACTGGCCTGCATGATCATTTCAACCTTCACCTTGCTCGCCGGACGGGCCAGACCGAAGTCGATCAGCTTGATCTTGAATGGCTGATCCTTGTGGTTAACAAGCATTATATTGTCAGGTTTCAAGTCTGTGTGCATGAGTCCAATATTCTTCAGGGGTTCAAAAGCAAACAGTAGCTGGTGGGTCACAGGCCGAATTTCACTGACACTCAATGGCTCCCACTTCCTCTCCTCCATCAGGTCCCAAAGGCTCCTGTCTAGCATTTCGAAGGCCAGACAAGAGAGGTTGTTGAACCTGAAATTCTCCATGAATCTCACAATGTTCTTTTTGTCTGGGTCACAAGCCCTGACTGCCTTTACCATCCCCACTTCCCTTTGAATGGTTGGATCGTCACTCTCTTTGTGGATTTTGATTGCCACCATTTTGGCCATGATTAAGTTGAAACACTGGGCGACTTTGCCAAAACATCCTTCTCCATTAAAATCCATTATCAGATAGCGAGTGTTATCGCTGTGGAGTATATCTCGTTTCTTTACCGGAAACGGTGCAGGTGATGTTGCAGAAGGCATTTTTTCAGAAAAATGTTTCCAAATACTTTTCAACAGCAATATAGTTCACTTGTCTTACTGTGAAGGCAACGAGAATGTAAACAACCAAGATACAGGTTTTATGTGTATCATCTGTGATCTTATCAATAAACATCAAAAACGTAAAAAAAAAAGTATAAAAAAAAAAAATTCTGAATGAATTAATGAATAAATAAATAAGTTAATTAATTGATTAATAATTAATTCATGACTAAGATCATCATCAAATATCATGCTTGCTGCATGTCAACCTTTCTGTCTCCCCTGCTTTTCCTGTCACTCTCGTGTGTCTCTATCAAATATAGAAGAAATGCTGGAGAAAGAAAAAACACTAAGAAAATAAAACAGCACAAGATGCCAAATACACAAAAGTCTGCACACTTTTAAGTCATACCACTGAAGTTGAGCACTTTTAATTTTCCTTTTACTGGTCCTTTTGTTCTGTCATGTCAAAGTACACAGTAAATGAAATGAATAAAGAACTTTAACATTTTAAACACTTCAAATGTGACTTATAGCTTCACATTTTTATATTTTATTGTATATATGAAGAAATTATCCAGAATATTAGATAAATTTGTTGTTTAACTCCATGTTTACCACATCTCAGGACCTGTTCGTGTGCTCGGGTGCTGTACACTGTCTACTTTGTATTTGAATAAGACTTGTATAGTGTTGTATACTACCGCCTCTATTTTATGTTATTCCTGTCTAAAAAGTCATGCTACTGAGACAGTGCACCTGCCTGTTGCTGTCTATCAGCGGTGGTACTGAAACATTCACCAATCTATGCACAGGGGTGCCACATGCTGTCCTCAGTGCTGAAACACAACTGGAAACTTATTTTCCTTTTTATTTCCTCAGGAGAAATTTTACTGACTACGTGGCCTCACTGTATGTTTTCTTCGATGTAAGACGTGTTCCAATCCAGGGGCCGCATCCTTCGGAGGCTGCATTTGAAGAGCAATTGCATCACAGCAGTGCTACTAGGCGGTCCCATTTCGAAGACTCCTTCAAATGTGGCGCAGCAATGCAGTAACAGGAACGATACTTCGTGATGCGGTGGGACGGGCAGGCACAGCTTCTGGCGCAAAGCCAAAATCCTCTGTATGGCAGACAGTCCCATTTCAGTTCGGCCTTCCAGGTCCATGACAGCACACCGTGTCCTCCAGATAAGATAATAATAATTTCCCAAACGTATAACCCAACTTCAAACTATTTAGTTAAACTGTAATGGATTTGATGTAGTCTGAATATATACAACATGTCTGAATATGTAAGTATACGCATTAGCAGTCGAGTTGTTGATTAATAACTGAACAAAAAAATGTTGATTATTGATTATATTTATATATATTTATATATATATATATATATATAGTTATTCATCAAGCAAAAAGTTTTAACATTTTATGCTCCTAGCTTTTCAAATATGATGATTTTCTTGGCTTCCATGTTTTATATCATTGTAAATTGACTGATTTTTTTTTTTTTTTTGACTGAATTGGCCAAAACCAGCAAAATTACTAGCACGTTGAGCTAAATTGTAACTTAAGTTTAAGATTAATGAAAATACAAGTTCAACTAACAATTATTTTCATTCTCGATTAATCTGCAGATGATTCACAATGAATCAACCAATTAATCATTTTGTTTTCAAATTTGAGAAGCTAGGACCAGCAAATATTTGGTATTGTTGCTTGAAAAACAATTAATCACTTGTCAAAGTTGTTGCCAACTAGCAAATTGTGGCATCAGCGAATAGTTTCACTTCTAAAAGAGAATAACCATTGGTTGCAACCCTAACAACCCTAACTGGAAAAAAGCCACAATTACATTCATCCCCATACCACTGCTGACACGCACTCTTTATTGCATAATTAATGCCAGCATGTCCTGCATGTGCACGGGTGTCTGTGTGTAACACTAATGAGTCATGATGTTCTGGCTGCAAGCTCAAAATGTCAACGCAGCACAGTGGAAATGAGAGTATTTTTAGAGAGAGAGAGAGGGAGAGAGAGAGAGAGAGAGATCAGCCAGTGAAACAAGCAGAGTGGACACCAGAGCGACAGAGAGTGAGATGGTGAGCGACGGGGAGGAGGTGGAAGGGCAAAGCAAGTGAAATGACTTAATAGATTCTAAGTGCTGTTTCACCGATAAGGAGCCAAGATTTAAATCCAATCAGTGGGGAAGATATTTAATGAAGGAAAGTGTTTAAAAGCCGTTTCCTCTCTGTCAAAACCAATGCTGCTGGGATGACCCCATCTTAGCTTTTGATACTCTGAAATCAATCAGCTCTCCCTGGATCCACTGCAGAGGATTTCTCTCCTCCTCTTCTGTACTTCTACTCTGTACCTCCTGTACTTCTCTGCTTTTCCCTCCCACCTTTTTCTTCCTTAATCTCTTCATGTCCTTACCCTCATTTAGCCCTGTCCCCTCTCTCTGTATTTTTAACAATTGCCTAAAAACTCCCTTACACTATATGATTACAGAGGGTTCCCCATGTCACACCCGTAAAACTGCATGCACTCTGTATGTGAGATGTGAGCTATTGGATAATCGAACCATCACTGCACAGAAAAATCCATTCTACATTCCTGCTCTTTATGTCTTCCTTATCTTAGACTGGATGCCCAGTGGACCGCACCATGCACAACTGTTTACTGTCATCACACAACATACTACCAGATTGTACAGCGTAACCTGAAATTGTTTTAATAGATCATTTTTTTCTTCTAGTGTTTCTTACTGTACCCTCTCACTGTTACCGTTTTCTATACAGTGCATGTAAATATCTATGTGGTGCATGTGTGCCTGTGTGTGTGGTGCATGGGTGAATGTATTCTAACAAGATGGAAGAAGAAGAAACACATACACACCACCCTTCTTGTATCTTTGAATAATGAAGGATGGTGTAACCCTGTGTAACAGAGGTCTCTCCATGCTGCTGCTCAACATACAGTAGTGATTACACAGGGCAAAAACACCACACAGCACTATCTACAAGGAAGAGGTCTTCACGGGTCAGTCTGATCGGGATGGGGAGAGTCTCATTTTACTGCCTGGGTAGACCTCAATGGATCAGAGCATAGTCAGTATCAGTTCTGATCACGTGTTACAGTGTGTCATAATCACTGGAGAAGAGAATATTTTAGGAATTTAATATCCTGTGAAAAAAATGGATCCTATATATTTAACTGTTATTTTTTTGGAATATGTTTCATAGATTTTAACTTGGTTAGAAAATTGTATCTTCCATTGATCTTCCTGAATGTTTTAATTCTTGATTCAGAAGTTGAAAATGAGCCTTGATAAAATATCATGCTGTTGATGTTCTCCCGTCTGTTGTATCAGCTCTAATTATCCACAGATCTTCTCTGACTGGGTCTGACTGTGCTTAGGTCTGCTTCAGATCAGGACTCTCCTTGTAGAAAATTAATTAATGCACATTCTGTTTGGGTAAGTTGTTAATCAATGTAATGTAATTGTTAAATCAGGTCCACCATTCTGGACCCGTGAGGACCTCTACAGCAAGGCATTGATAAAATGCTTTTTTCCCCACATATCAAAACTCGCGACACAGGTT